TTTTTACCTGTGCACTTTTGCATATCTTTAGTGTTTACCTTAACAAACCCGAAACTCAACTATCCTTAACGACAAGGACCATGCTTCCTTATAAAGTAGAACAAAACAAAAAGGGACGGAGAAAAATAAACCAAACGTCGATAGGTAAAAAAAAAACTGACTGTTGCGTCTGTGTAATGCAATTCAAAAGTTTCTTTCACAAATTTGTACAGTTGTTGACAAAAGGACGTCTTACGAAGGAGTTCAATGTTCAAGACGTCAAAAATAATAAATAATAAAATGATTGTTAATGCGGCTCCACTAGGGAACTTAGTTTATTTTCATATTGCAAAAGTTTCAGTAGCTTGTAATTTCTTGTAACTTGAATATAATATTATTTGTCATATTTATAATATAATCACTTTTTATTATAAATGCTCAAAAAGAATAAAGATAATGCTTATAGAATAGAGTTTCAACTTCGGATTACAGTAATCAGTTTCTTACATAAAATTTATATACATACATAGATAATTTTACTAATAGGATCAACAACATGGCAGTAAGAAATAGAAAATCAAATGGTGATATAAGGATAAAAAACCTTTAGTATAATATATAATTCTTCTCTATATTTTAACATAAATAAAATAAAATAAATAATAATATTTTAAAATAATAACATTGAATATTAAAATATCTACTAAATAAATAAAATATAATTTTTTTTATATTATATTTATATTTTATATTATTATATTATGATACTTTTGTTGGCTGCAGATAAAGAGCAAAGAAACGAAGTTGCTATGTAAAGGATATCTACTTAGTAATACTCTATTTTGCCTGAAGCACTTTTACTTCTCTCTCTCATTAATATAATATGCTCAGAATAATTGAAACAATTATAAAAGAATCAGAAATGTTTTTTGTATTATGGTTAGCAAGAACATATATGGTGTAAGTATATCATCTCCGACATCTCCTTAACCGCGCACTGTAAACAATTTGACAAATTTAATGTACCTTTGCACTGCATTGTGAAGCTCAATTATTTTTAAGCCCATTCTAATAGAATAATAAATTAAATATTAGATAAATATTATTAAATATCTAAAGCATATCTAATGCTTATAAACAAATTGATCATAAATCTTTTACCTTAACGATCGCAGAGCTGAAATCTGTAATTTTCCTGGAAGATAATCTTAGAATTTTCAAACAATTAAATTTTGAAAACATGTGCTGTGCTGCCTATGGCTTCTACTGCTCAAATCGTGCCCAACTCAGTAAACACCTTAGCCAACAAATGTTGATCAAATGACGATCTTATTTTCTAAGCCTAAGAGTCGAAGCGGCCTAAAAAGTGTGTGGCTTGGTTTGTCTTCCGACTAAAATTTTTATTTTAAACTTCGTTGGCATTTTTTGTGAAAATTTTTGTTATGTATTTTGCTTTCAGTTTCGTTGCCTGCTTAAAATGAAAAATGAAATGATCAGACAAGCGTTCACGATTAAGGAGGGGAAGTAAATTCTTTTAAGGCCAAGTTCATTGTCTCTTGGTTTTTTTTTTAATTCTTTTTTCGCTTGAAAATTTCAAATCAAGCGCAAATTGTTAATAAAAATGACTTCAGCGTATTTCTTCAGCGTTATGTACCCGTGTACACCGTACTCCCTCCCCTCCCTCCTTCCATGCATTGGTGCTATTATACAAGTTCGGTTTGTTGATTTCGCTAATTCGTGCATTTATTTAGCAAAATTTCTAAAGTATCGAATTGTAGAGAAGAAATGACTGACTCGACTCGACTCGACTCGACTCGACTGTTCTAATATTACAACACGTTTGTTATTTGTCGTCTTCTCTTCTTTAAGAATTAATTTATTCTTATTATATTTAATTATATTTCTTTAATGGTAACTGCGCATTAAAGGTTTGCGAAACATTAACCCGCATGTGGGGTTAAGCAGTTCAAAAGTAATATCTTTTAAGTAGAAGGTCGGGCTCAGTGTAAGCTTTGTTTATATTGTATGCTTTAAAATTAAAATTTAGCATTGACAAAAGATGAAGAAACCACGAAGTTTACAAAATTTCCTGAACACATGCGAACTTCTCTAAAATGTAGATAGCAAGTAAACGAAGTATCAATTTATTCTATCTTTCACCATTCATTAGTCTAGAAGGAGGTAAGTAAAGTGACAGAAGATCGATTTCTGTCAACTTACTAGAAATCCTTTTTGATGACATATTAGTCTAAAACGGGAAAAGTAAACAATTTCATTTTGGTTAAAATTGTGATACATTGGAAGTTTAATGCGAAGGATTATGATTACCATTATTATGATGGTAATAATCATCATAATAAAAGCTGCACACATTTTAACCTATTGTATAATAGATCCCTATTGTACACAATCATAAATCGAATCTAACACTGCCCCATATAAGTTGGATAAAAATCAAATGATTTCAACTTTCGAACCATATTAAAACAGAGACAATACTTTAGACAATGCATACCTTATTATTCATACCCATATTCTTTTTACTATACATTACTAAACGCTCTGCTTTAAATGAGCTCTTTCACTGAGCACAAATTTTGAACTCATGTCGAAGCTACTGTGTTTACATTACCATACAGAAGTAATGGAAGCAATATAATCACTGTCACTGATCGCAGTCAGCATCGTAGATGATGTTAATGATATTTAGTTGTTCTATGATATGTATGACATGCGTTATTTTTTCTGAACCTATTTCAAATCAAGTTATTAGTGTTACTCCATTTTGAAATTACATTGTGTTAGATTGTCTCTCAGACGCATTGAACATTTTTATCTGCCGTAACAGATCGAACATAAGCTGTATATGAAAATGTTAAATAACCATTTAATTGCTGGATAATTAGAGTGCAACACGTTATACCACATCCCATTGATGTGTTTTGCATAGAATAATTTCATTATTATTTTTTCAATGCTTACCGAAAGTGATAAGCGAGGACTGTATTTCAAAAAATTTTACGAGTATTTTCTGTTTCGTTTGCTTACTTTTGTTCTTGGAATTTTTATTTAAATACTCAGCAAAAATACATTTTCTCAAAGTTATTGATGTTAACCACATTCCTGTGGAATTTGCTGATCTGACCGCATATTCATACACATATTTTAATTAAAAACTGAAAAATAAGTGAGATATACTTTTTAACCGAAATTTACTGGTACGTTGAAGAGAAAATATTTGAAATGTCATTTTTTTATGTCAAAATCTTGTCAAGATTTAAGTTACGTGTTTAATACGACACTCAAGAGTTTGACTGTCACGCGTCAATGTAACTTTTATCCAGAACGATGCAAATTATTCATCTGATCTTATTTAACATTAATGGTATGTGAATTATTTTGTGTGATAAGATAAAACCGAAAATTACTTTCAAGACATATCTTCACTGAAGTTGAGGAGAAAAATTTAAATCAATCCATTTCATTACTCTGAATTCTCAAGAATAATATATATAATATTGGTCTAACCTTTATTAAAATACTTATAAAAAAATGTCACAAGTTTATAAATAACTATCTGCATTCATCAAAAACGACGATCAAATTTGGTTGAATTTGCATCTAGTCGTCACTAAATGGATCTTATAATGGGTTACAATAGTAATAGACTTTAACTTCAATTTAAAGCAATAATGGTATATTCATTGGGACTGAATTCACATGATGCATATGACGTGTGATTCAGTTGAACCACATATATATTTCATATTCTGTACAAGGTATATTAACGTGTGTAAAAACTTTTCCAATAGTTATACCGTAATTCTACTTCATCAAGACAAAAAAGAATAAATACTTATACTTAAAATTATAATGTCAATTATGAAATTTAAGCAAGAGTATAAAAGATATATAGCTGTTTGCCCTTTTAACATTGATATTATATACAGTTTATAATTTTGAAAAGTATAAATAATTTACTATTAATAAAACTTAATTATAATTAACCCACATACACAGTAAACTTATGCAAACATATGTACAAGCATCTTGATATAGAAGTCAGTCGGTAGAAGCTCATACTGTACTGCAGCCGATAAGATTAGAAAAGCGAAAACATGAGGCAATTGTTACTCATATAAGACAACTACTAAGGCAAACCACGCAAACTCTAGCATTTTGTTAATATAACTTGTTATTCTAATAGCTTTGGCATGAAAATATACATACTTCTGAAATGTGCTTCTGAAATTATAAATATTTAATATTATTATTGTTATTAAATGATCGTTCAATTTAAAAAGGTGCTCAAAGGTCTGGCGCCTGTTAAATTTGCTGACGATTGACGATTGACGATTTTTCAAACGTCAGAAAAAATACATTGAAATACTAGACTGGCTAAGAAACAATTAGGATGGGTTTTCCGGTAATCGGCAGCGCACCGAATTGTTAACAATATTGGATTACTATTTCGTACCACGTTTAGATTAAAAAGCGGTATTTTTTACAATGTAACATGCACATACGTGCATGTACGAGTGTTAACGAATTGTCATATTTAATGAGAAAAACAATTAAAATATTGTTTTATTTTTATCTTTATTGTGGCATTCGTCATACATAGACTAATCATTAATTCAGATGTAAAGCTGGCGACTACTACAAATGTACATATCACTTTAATGCACTTGAAGCGGTTGCGTCGATTTATATAACACAGGGTAAAAGGGTGATTGGTGATTGCAGCAGTTAATTTCTGAAAGAAATTGTATTCATTTTTTTTTTTTCAGTATGTAAGTACTGTTTCGCACAGCTCTGGATTTAGTATGTAAACGCTGTTTCGAACAGCTCTGGATAAAATAGTGCTGAATCCTAACCTTACTTATAAGACGCACACACTGCAAGAACACATGTACGGTCTAATATAATGCTTTAAATCTATTCTATTCTATTCTATTCTATTGTCTATTGTTTGATAGGTTTTAGTTATTTTATTATATATTTATGTATAAAGTAATTACCTCCATCATCCACTCTGCGACTATTTTGCGCATGGGTGGCGTTATGTCTTGCTGCACAGTCACGAAATAAGTGCAAACAGACTGTGGACGCTTTTCCTCTGCTTTGAGTGCATTTTCGAGACAGCGATCTGTGAGGAATGTAGGATCCTCTGTGGCAGTGTTAACATAGTCTATTGTGCGGTTTATTAAATTGGTTGAATAAACCTCCTCCTGATAACTATTAGTAGTCACCTGATCGGTTTGAACTGTTGCTGTAGTATCGGAAACCGTACATACATCTGTAACGCATGCAACAGCAGCTGTGGCAGATGCATGGTTCCCAATGCATTTTGCTGATTGCGATTGACAGCATTCAACACATTTTGTGGTTTCACAAACAGACGTATAACCGTATTCTAATGGGATATTTGTAGTCAAATTTGCACCCAATTGTGTTGGCGAGGGATTCACATACACTGCAGAAATTTGTTGGGCGATCGCGGGTTGATATTGGAGCACTCTTTCTAATTTGCGCTGCTGCAATTCTTCTTGTTCTTGCATTTGTTTACTACAAACGATTTCATTTTCATTTACGTTCATAATATTTTCAGTGCACAAGAGGTCCATATTGCAGCTGCGTAATGCACACCGAATCCAAAACCGAATCTAATTTTTATTTTTTGCAAATTTCGTTTACTTTTTTAATTATAAATTTTATTATGCACTTTAAAACTACAGACATGCAATAGAAAATTTTGTAATTTTAGCAAAACACAAACAATCAATGCCCTCTATATTAATTTCGAACAATATAAAAACCAGCAAGACTAAAGTTCCTTTGAAGAGTCCTAGTCAGCTAAAGAGAGCAATGCGAATATCTCTCTGGCCTTTAACGATGTTGCCAAATTTCATTCAATTAATTTTTAACTTTATTCGTGTTGCGCAATTTCTAACACTTCATATGGGATAAGTCTCCCTTGGCGATCGCTAATTTTTAAGGATTACTTTATTACTTTTAAACAAAATTATAATTTTACAATGCGTTACAAAACTAAGTTTAACTACTAAAACAGAAATTTTATTACACTTCTACGCCGAAATTTTAAATACAATTTATATATTTCTTTTTATAATTATTGTTTAAACATTAGACACTTTAATTAAGTTAACAATTTACAATTCGTGCTTTATTTCTTATTTTTAAGTTAATGTGATTAACAAAATTGACGGTGCTTTTTTCCTTATCGAATAGTTTTTGTTATTGTTTTTACCGGTCGGTTAATTTAAATTCGCAAACACACAAGCACTTCCCGCGACGCTACCGTCCACGTCAAGTTGTAGGAAAAGAATGAGAACGCAGTTGACATATCGCAAAACACATGTGAAACAAAATTGTATGAAACGAGAAGCAGCTGCTGATAACGCTGCCACGTATTCTACTTGTTGAAATGCTTAACCTCGTGCATGAATTAATAAAATTTCCCTTTTATTTAAATTAAACCGCATCCCAATTTAAACGACACGAGTAAATCTTTACTAATTACTGGCCTTTTATATTTGTTTTTTTACCTTATACCAGGTTCGCACTATCTCATTTAGGCACTTGCTCATTTATATAAATGAGGAACCGTTCACATAATAATGAGCTCATTTATACAGCTTTTAGAACTTTTATATGTCAAAAAAGCTATAAAAGAACTTTCTTTTGTTTACAAATAAAACACAAAGAAAAATTTTGGTGTTGTGTAAAATAAATATTTTAAAATGGAAAACGCAGAAAATTTAAAAAACATAATATATAATGTGTGTGAAATTATTAATAATAGAAAGAAAGCAATTTCTGAATATCGTAAATGTCGTGCAATGCACCGAAAAAATATACTTGAAATAAGAAAAAAGCAAATAGCAATACTTTCTACAATAATTGCTAGCAACCGGAGGAAGTGCTGGACTTTGGTTAGTGCCGCCAGTAATGATTATTAAATAAAGTTTAAAATTAACATTTTTTTTCAGAAAAGAACAAAGAAATTTTGGGAAGTGGATTGCCAGAAAAATGGTCCAAATTTTTTCAAAGAAAATTTTCGCATGAGTTTGGAATGTTTTAAGGAGTTATGTGAATTATTAAAAGGACTACAGAAAAGAGATACAACCTTTCGAATTTCAATTTCTTTAGAAAAGAGAATTGCTATTGGCTTGTATTGCCTTGGGTCGTCGGCTGAATACAGAAGCGTAGCAAATCTGTTTGGTGTTGGCAAGTCAACCGTGTGCATTTGCCTGAAATTATTTTGCCAGGAGGTGTGGAAAATTCTTTCACCCTTGTACATGAATGCATTTCCATTAACAAGCGACAAGGTGAATGAGTGCATCAGAGGATTTGAGGTTCTTGGTTTTCCACAATGTTTAGGTGCAATGGGTAAGTTTTCAATTTACTATTACTGAAACATATTAATTGTAAACAACATTAAAGATGGAAGCCACATTGAAATAAAACCAGAATCTCAGAATGCTGTAGACTACTATAACTATAAAGGGTGGTACTCGATTGTTTTGTTTGCCCTCGTAGATTATAGGTAAGTAATTTATAAGTAAATAAACAACGAAATTTCAATAAACGCGCAAATATATTTTACTGTTTATTTACAGATACCGTTTTCTTTATATAAATGTTGGGTATCCTGGAAGAGTCAATGACTCTTTTATTTTTGAAAATTCATCACTTAAGAGCCAGTTAGAAAATTGTGTTGCTTTAGAAGACAAAAGTAGGGTGATTAATGGTGTCAAAATACCCGTATTGATCCTAGGTGATTCTGCATTTCGATTTTCCACCAAAGTTATGAAACCATACCCTTATGATGAAAACGCTAGCATTGGTCAAAAAACTTTTAACTACCAATTATCTAAATGTCGAAGAGTGGTTGAAAATGCTTTTGGGCAGCTTAAGGCAAGGTTTCGCAGAATAGGGAAGGGCATTGACAACAAAATCGAAAACGTGAACAGCATAATACGATCCTGCTGTGTTCTTCACAACTTTTTAAATGAAAAAAATGATGTAGTGGAAAAAAGTTGGGTACGTGCTCTGAAAAAACAACATCTGGTTTCAGAACGACAACAACCAGAAGAAGTTTCAGTATTAAATGACGGCGATCTAAATGCAGAACAAATAAGACGATGTTTAGCTACATTTTTTAGTAAGTTTTATTAGAAATTCACCTAATCCTAATTTTTAACTTTGTAGCACTAAATAACTTAATCTAATTATCCTATATATTTATAAAAAAAAAAAATGTAACTTAATCTAAATTATAATAGTATAATGATAACAATAATTATAAATTATGTTATATTATTAATAAATAATTATCGCTATTCATCGCTGGAGTCATCGTAACCAGTGAGCCGAGTATATGGAAAACCTCTTTCCATTGATGACGCGATACGGGATAAAGCAACATTGCTTTCTTCCATTAAATTCAGGAACCTTGCGTCTGTGCGTTCCTGCAGCTCGATGTGACGGTTCTCTACATCTATCAGATTCTGAAATTTTTCCAAAAGGGTGTCATTCAAATTGCCTTTATTTTTTTTTTTGCAGGTGTTTCAGAATCTTCCGACGTAGATATTGGATCTATCGGCGGAGAAGAGCATGGCGACAGCAACGATGTATCATTTGATGATGGTGCCTGGTCTGATAAATAAACACATTCATTATTTTGAAAAACTTAAACAAATTTGTGAAAACTCACCTGCAATACTTTCAAACACTAAATTTGTAGTGTTATGTATGGGCAAATTGCCTAAAAATCTTTTCAATATATGGAAGTACTTCCAATCGGATGGCGCCCCTCCCGAAACTCCAACACACTGCTGTTCTTTCCTGATTTAAAATAAACAAACAAGCAAATTAATAAAAATAAATAAAAAAATTAACAAAATTACATTTAAATCTCTTTTTATTATATAAAATTACATAACATAATAAAAAACAAAACGGTTTCAATGCACAAATTATTATTGTAATTTTCAATTTCACTTATGAAATACTTACCTAAATCTTTGTGTAAAGTTGTGGACCTTCGTTTGCACTTCTAGCGAAGTGACCAGAAAACCCCTATTCTGAAGTTCTGTGGCCATCTCATTGAAAATATGTGCGTTCCGTCGGGCGCCCCGTAATTGTGGCAGTCTTTCCTCCCATATTTCCAAAAAGTGCCTCTCGGCACTTTCCGACCAAGCATTTCTCCTTCTCTTCATTTTCTGTGTCTGAAAATAATATTTAATTAAATTAATCTAAAATCAACTATTTAAATTTGTATTGCCTATTTAATTCATGAAAACAAAAAATTTTATTAAATACTAGTACGTACTTCTTTTTGCCATTGAAATGAATCCATCTGAAATAAACAAACTTCACTTAAGAATATATCTCACTAAAAAATTAAATATTTCATTGATATTTTAAATCATTTATATACATGTTATATATTAATTACATTTCAATTAATAAAAACAGATTATATTTAATACTACTTTCTCAGTGTACTTGTTTACTGTGCAGTTGTTGTTTGTTTACATTTTATATTTAAAAATATATGACAGATACTTCAAATTTTGGTCATTTCCCTTTTGGGAAATTTTTTTTAAAGGGTTGCATTCGACAATTTTGGTCTAAAATGAGCTGATTTATTGTAAATCAGCACATTTATATGAAAGCTCTTTGTATGGTAAATCATGCTCATTAGTGATTATAATGAGCAAAACCGCCTAAATGAGATAGTGTGAATGTACTATTAGTTGGTTTCAGAAAAAGATGAGTTTAAAAACTATTGCTTTTTTCATGAAATTATGTACCTATTTCTACTATGTAAAAAAATTATACAGAAACCTTCTTTAAAAAACATATATATAAGCAAAAAATATATATTATATATAGGTGCTTTCGACAGCTTTTAAGTGTGGCAAACGACCAGTTACTTATTATAGGCATTAAGAGAAATATTGGCATCACTGTTGCAAAGCCGTCAAATTTTATGTTTTCGCAAAATATAATGCATATAATGCAAGCAAATTACATTTTCTCTAAAAATAAATAATTAAGCTAAGGCTTAAAATTAATATAAATAATAAATTTAAAGCAATGTTAAGAATGCAGGAAATTTTGAAATTTCCTTTCATAACAATATTTATAAAAGTTTTCACTATTTATGCCTTAATAAGTATTAACTTGTTAGTAACTAATAAGTTTAAAAATTTAAAGCGGTTTTCAGCAATACTTTTTTCATGTACTCATATAAATTTAAGTGTATATTTATTTACGTGTGAATTTTTTTTTTTAAATATTTCTTTTTCACAAGTTTACATAATTTTCAAATTCGTCAAATTCTTTTAATTTTGTTTACATTTTTACAAACTTTTGACATATGACTGAAATATTCGTCGAATTTCCAATCAAGATTCACAATAGTTCGTTTATAGCTTCGGTAACTAGATGCTTAAATAGAGATTGATGTTTTGCTCACAAATTAGTAACTTTAATCGTGTAATTAGTAACATATGTCTCAATTTGATATACGATAGCATATTGCCACCCAGTTCTTTTCTACAAGAGTAGACAATTATTGTCTGAAATAACAATGAGTTCGTGGTCTCAACTCAAGACTCCATCTCCTTATCGTTAAATGAGAGTATGTAAATGTTAATTAATATGTTTTTGATTTACCGGCGGATAAAGTTAGCCGGAACTTGGTCGCTATTTATTTTAATTCTCCTCAAATCAAACCTACTCATTGCTATATGTCTTTCTAAATAACTTAACATTTTAAAATCAATGATTACATTAGGACTTTTCTTTTGAAAGCATGTTGCAAAAGAATAACATGAAATAAGCATTACTCCGGGAATTTTGTTGGGTTTATATATGTAAATACGTAATAAAATTTAAAGTTAAAGTTTCGATAAATAAAATTCTTTAAATAAAATAAATAATAATTCTTTGCAATTAGGGTTTAGAATATATTATTTTTTACATAATTGTGAATAAAAATTTTATTTTCAGGCTTTCTCAATAATTGAATATAATTTTTTATTTTCAGTAAATTAAAAAGAATTTTTAATTTCAGTAAATTAAAAAGAATTTTTTAATTTCAGTAAATTAAAAAGAATTCAGTATTACTTCTCAAATATTTGTTGACAGTTAACTGGAAATTTTGTACATACCTTCAAGAATCATACATAATAGTCGAATTTTTAGTCTTAGCAACCATGCGATTTGACAAAATGTTACTATTTATTTATCGAGGAAAAATATTCTAAAAGCAAGGTAATCATATATAAAAAAGGATTAAAATATTTTGACATTTTAATATAATATTCGAATTGACTACAAACAGGTCTATGACATTAGCTGTCTAAATGAACAATTTCGAAATAGTTTGGCTCTTTTGACTAAAGGTTTCTATGTTAGATATATTTCTCGTTGACACCTTGTATCTTAACATCTATTAAAAATTCAATAAAAAACGAGATTTATCTAGTTTTGTGATAAAAGTTTTTAAAAATAATTTTAATATTGTATATACCATAATTTTCTTAAAAGTACATATTTATTTTTATTAAATTCAATGCATAAATATACTGAAAAATAAAAAAAAAGATTATCTTGCATTAGACAATATATATGTTTAAATAAATTCAAATTCAAATTTATTGTCACCAAAAAATTATTCGTTACAAAAAGTTTGTAGTTCAGCTGGCATCACGGAATTTCAGAAATAAACATTATTCATTGTAATAAGCCCTTTAAGGAATGCTTTGCGATAGTAATTGTCACATTTCGGAAAACTATGGATCTATGGATGCAATATAATTTACGATATTGCTAATTATTCCTTATACTCCAAAAAATATAAATTTTTTTTTCTCAACTTACAGTTGATATTCGTTAGAGTCTGAAATTCCAAATAGCCTTTTATCACTAATCAAACCATGACAAGTCAGTAGTGATTCCGACATTTGTTAATGTCTTAAGTAATAAAAAGCATCTGTATACGTATTAACAAAAATTTTATTTTTAAAATTCATACATATATACAATACACACTAATAATATAAGCTAATATGTTATGTATAAAACAAATCAATAAATTGTTGAATCGAAAATATATAATATACACTTATTCGCTTATTACACACTAAAAATTTATAATTTGCTGCTTAGGTACTCCACACACTTAATATATTTCTTGGAATTCTTCATTGGGACTTTTGGAGAAACTAGACATTTTTTTAAATTTAATAATCTATTTAATATCTAATTTTAACACAATTGTCAGGATATCGGTAAATATCTTAAATATCGAAGTGAGTTTATTAAATTTAAATTTTTCATTTTATCTAATTAGAAGTTGCGCCTGCATTATTGTTTGGGTTGTTTCCCCACAACCAGTTAAGAAGCACCGATGAAGGAGACTGACTCGATTGAGCTGTTCTCGATTGAGAATTGAAATATATAAATTATCTATTATCTAGAATTAAAAATATTCTATACTTACATAAGTCAGTTCCAACTAATTCAGAAACAGCTGCAGGGGGAATTTTAGCAAGGTCTTGTTGAATTCTCTCCATTTGTCTGATGCGTTGATCACGGTCCTCTTTGATTACCTTGTCTTTGGAATGGCTAACTGTCTGTAGTTCGGATAATCTTGAAAAGAATATTGAGCAAATTTGAGTGTTGCTTTAATTTTTGGGAAAGGGTTTGAGAATTACTTTTGATTTAGGTTGTTGACTGAATCTGTTACAATCGGGCTTGTGACTGCAAATTTCACTGGACTTTCACTAGACAGAAGTGCTGTTGAGTCCATCTGAGTTGTGTTAGCTATAATGGTAAGTATTTATAAGCAAAGATTTAGATTTAATAAAAAAAAATAAATTTATAAGCATACCGTCTGTTGCACTTGTTTGGGCTTTAATTTCTTCAAGTTGTCGTAGAGTATTTGAGAGTTTCAATTGCAATGTATCACGTTCTTCAAGTAATGACACAACCTCTAAAGTCATCTCATCACACCGCACATCTCTCTGGTGAAGCATATACAGCGCAAAATCTAACTCTGATTTTGGAACTAAAGAAGCGTCACTTACTCCACGTCGCGCGATTGTTGAATCTGCAGTGGGCGTATTTGTTATTGTCGACATTCCGCTGTGTGATAAAGTTGTTTGTAATTTGAAAGGATCATACTGAGCTGCAAGGCGAGCATATTCAGCAGATCTAATTGCCAATTGCTCTTTAAGAGTTACGATTTCCATTTCTTGACTTTCTAAGGCCGTTTGCATTTTTTCAATTATATTACCATTGACGGTAACACTTTCGTCACTTATTATACGGTTGCGTAATGGTGTTCCTTCCTTTGAGGGTGCTGCCGAAGAACTAGCGGAAACACTAGTTGAATCACTTGCTGTAGTCTCAGTAGATAAGCTTTGCTGTTTTGGTAACTTTGACACACTCTGAGTATCTTGGAGCTCTGCAATTTCTTCTTGTAAACGTACTTCTATAATTCTAAATTCTTCTTCCCTTTTTTCCATGTGCTCGCGCCACATTTGTGCTATTTCACTACACCTCTGTTCAACAACGGCTTCCCATTGTGCATTCAAAGCAATAAAGTCAACTTCATTACTTTTGGCATTTCCTGCTGAAACTTCACTCTCAGCTTTGGTAATAGCAGCTATCGTCTTTCTGAGCTCTTTTATTTCGATTTCTTTTAAGTCCATCTCTAATAGGGCCGCTTTTGTTTTATCTTCCTGTTCCAAACTCATCATAACATGATTATTCAACACCTTCAACTCCTCTTCCATATTACATTTCTCCTCTTCAACTGTTTCTATTTTTGACCTAAGCATCAGAATCTCCTCTCTCATTTTAACCTCTTCTTCATTATGTTTGCTCGCTTGCATTCCCTGTGTTATTTGTAGTGACAAATTGTTTTCCATTTCAATCCTTTCTTCTTCCAATTGCTTTACTTGTGTTTTAAGCAATTGAATTTCTTGGTTTTTCGTCAAAATTTCTAAAACGAGCTTTTCTGTCTGATCTTCGCGCATAAGGTCTTCAATGCGTTGTCTTAAATGCAAAATTTCCGAATCCTTCTCTTGCAGCTGCACTGTGAGTTCATCGTTGTTATTAAATTCCGTACTACTACCGTTATTACCGGCTAATTGCAGGGCAATGTTTTCCTTTTGTAGTTCCAAAATTTGATTACTTAGCAATTGTTTCTCGACCGTAAGTTCTTCGAGTTGTTTGTTTAAGTCAGTTAATCGAGTTTCCAAATTATTTTTATCCGCATCGCTCTGTTTTATTGTTTGTTCCAAATTTTCAATTTTGTTACTCAACCCGTGTATGATATTTTCTTTCTGCAGCAAAGTACTTGAGAGGTTTCGATGTTGGTCATTTATTTGGACCAATTCTTCTTTTAGCTTGGAGTTGTCTTCAACTAAACTGTTATACTTTTTCTGCACATCTTGATGTAACAATTTTAAATCATTGTATTGGGAAATTTGTAAAACTTCTTTGCCGACATTTGCATTCTCCAATGTAGAAAGTTGTTGTTGTAGCAGACGTATGGTTTCTTCAGCTCGGACTACATTTAGCTTCTCTTCTTCCAACAATGCTGCCACTTCCATTTTGTCGCCGGTAATGTCCTCAATTTCTACTGTGAGTTTTTCAATTTTCTGCTTCATTTCAAGTTTTACAGCCTCAAAATCAATAGATGAGACATTTGGATTATCGATGATTTCAACACCTGATGGTATTTTACTTTCTAAAGGTTTGTCAGCTTTTGCGGTGTCATCGCCCCATTCTTCTAACTTATTCAATTGTTCTTGTAGTTCTCTTATTCGAATTTGGTACATTTGCAAGTCCATATCTTGACGTTCCTTCATTTCAGACATACGATCAGTGCCTGCAGTTAGTACGTCTATCCGTTTTAATAGCTTATCTTTTTCAATTGCATTGCCTTCTAGGACTTTGTGCTGCTCCTCAAGTCTCGACTCCAGCTTTGTTATTTGATTCCTTAATTCTTCTTGTATTGCTGCATCCAAGTCATTGAACATTGAATTTGAATCAACTGACGTTGACTTTCTAAAGACATTTGCGGTTTGTGATTGCTGTACCTCGTCCATTTTAATTTTATATTCTTTAAGTTTTTTAATTAATTTATTCGACTTAGCTTGTAATTCTTGCTTCTGTTGCTCAGAGCTCTCAAGTACAAGTTTTAAATGCTGTATTTGCTCAGTAGCATCCTGTAATTGTATTTCTAATCGTTGCTCATGTGACACCAATGAAGTTACATTGTGGGGACTTGTGTCAGTTTTGGCAAGGAAATGCGCCGCCTCCGCAGTTGCTTCATTATTGGCCCAACTATCACCCCAGTCGTCACCCAAGTCTTCTGGAATAGGTATAGTCGGTATAGCAGTTTCTTTAGGTTGACAAACATATGCTGTTTTGGGTACAATTAATTCCTCTACTATTGGTTCATCAGAGACTTGAGACATTACTAATTTTTCGAACTCTGTTGCGCCAGGACCGCCAAAAAACATATCCAAAGTCGGCTTGTTAACATCTTCTAAGCAATCAACTTTAACTGTTGATTCTGTAGGTGAAACTGTTATGATCTGACTTTCCAAGCTCTCTATAGTTTTTTTAAGCTGTTCTTCTTTATTTACGTCATTTTTAAGCTTTAGTATTTCTTCGTCACGCTCAGATAGTTGTACTTCCAGGTGCTTAATGTTGCTTTCTAGGTCTCTCAAATGATCAGCAGCTTTTGAAGCATCGTTACACGCTGATTCCATATTTGATTGCAATTTTAATTCCATTTCACTGAATTGTTTCTCTCGCGTTTCAAGAAGATCCTGAAGCTCCTTAATTTTGCTTTGTAAAGCCGTCAAATGCGTGGTGGATTCCATTTTTGACTCATCATATGTTCGTATTTCCTGTTCTAGTTTGCTTATATGCGCATGAGCTTGCTGAAGCTGTTGTTCTCGGTCAAGTACATGATTTTCAGCTTCATGAAGAAGCACTTGTGTTTCTTTTAATCGCTGCTCATATTCATTGTCGAGTTGATTTCTAGTTGCCAATTTGTTTTCCAAGTCTTGGGCATGCTTTTCTAAATCTGACACATTTCTTTGAAGGTCTTCTATTGTTGGTTGCTCAGTATCGTTATTTATTTGATCACCACCTATAGCTCCTTCCAACATATTTTCTGTACGCACTTGTACAAGCTCATCAAATGGTGAAGAAGTAATTTGTTCGGATGCGAAGAACATTGGAGGTGCTGGGATAACGTCATTTCTAAATTGTGTGGATGGAGATCTTGAGTTGGGAGCGCGTAAGTTTTCCAATTCTCTACTGTTTTCCAAAACTTGTCTCTGTAAATCAGCGTTAGTGTCAAGAAGAGTGTGATATTCATTTTGCAATGCCTGTAAATCTCGTTGTAAACGTGTATTTGCTTCAGTTTTTTCCAAGAGTTCATTCGAAATTCTCTCTCGTTCTCTATCATCCATTTGCGAAGGAATTGAAGTTATATTATGCTGAGTTGGTAAGCCAAATGCCAAAGCAAAAGGATCTGCTTGTACCTGCGGTGTAGATCCTACGGCTGCCATCTGCAATTGCAAATTCTGCCGTTGGTAATTTTCAATGATTGCAGATTTTTCGGCTAACAAATCAGTCAAGCGTTTGTTTTCTGATTCAATAAATACTTGATCATCGGTTTGATTCTGACCTACTTGCATACGAAGGGAATCCAACTCACAAATTTGTATTCGTAGAGCTTGTAGTTCCATTTCATGGTTAGATGCAAGAGTATCTATTTGATGACGTAATTCATCGATCTCGGTTTTATCCTGCATTGCTTGCATACGTAATTCCTGTAGTTCGTACTGATCTTGTTGCGCGCTTTCACTTTGCATACGCAACCATGTCGACTCTCGCTCCAACTCTTGTTTCGATTGCTCTATAGCATTTAATGTCTCCTTTAGACGCACAATTTCGTCTTTCAATGCCATACACTCGTCTCTAGATTTTTCCAAGTCTTCATAGGTTTTTCTTTTATCAATGTTAATTTTTTCCAGTTGTTCACTTAATTCGCATTCAATTTCATCAATTTCAGTTGCTTTAGCCGCAAGTTTTGCATCGTAAACAGAACGTAAACGTTGCATTTCAGAATTCGACTTTACAAGCTGATCACGTAACGAAACGTTTTCATTTTCTAAAGTTTCTGCAATTTGTTGGCGATAGGCTTCGAATTCATTCTCCAACTTTGTATGCTTAATGTTTAACTCTTTAAATTCAGCTTGGAAACGATCCATACGTTCCTGCAGCTCCTCCTTTTCTTCTTGCGAATCAATAAGACGTTGACCAATGACTTCATCATGTTCCGACAGCATATTAAGCCGATAGATAAGTTCATCCTCAGTTTTTTCATATTCATCAGCACGAGATTGCATCTGTGCATCTAACAAGTTTGCCCGTCTTTCCATAGAAGCACGTCTTTCTTCAAAGCTAGCAACGCACTCTTCCAATTTGCATATCTTGTCTTTAAACTTACTATTTTCCTGCTCTAAAGTTTCTATATAAGACATATCTTCCTGAAGTTTGGCCTGAATTCCATCGTGTACTGTTTCCAAACGCGTTCTTATTTGCAGGAAATTAGCTTTTTCAGTGTTATAATCAAGCTTCAGCTTATCGTAGGCTTGTTGCAGTAAATCAAATTCATCCTTTGGTACTTGTTTTAGTACTTTTATTTCTGCATCAGTCACAGTTTGTTGTAAAGGTGCTTGTACGATTTCCTCTTCAGGTTGTGCACTAAGTTTATCTTGCAAGTCTTTCAATTGCGCGTGCAAGCGATGAATTTGATTGTTTCGCTCTTTAATAATGGCCTTAGATTTTTCAAACTTTAAAGATTTTGTCTTTAGCTCCTCGCTTAATTCATTCATACGCTGTTCTTGGACAGCAATTTGTTCCAAAGATGCTACATTCTCTTTATCATTGAATTGATTCAATTTTCGTGTTAAATTCTCAATTTGCTGCTCTTGATTTTTCACTTGCGAACTTAATTCTTGCTTTGCTTGCTGTAAACTATATTCGTGCTCTTTACTTTGAAATAATTGATTTTGGACGTCGTTGAATACTCTTTCTGCTTCATCTATCGCTTTCAATTTATCTGCTAACTTTTCAGACAATTCAATTTTATATTGTAAGGCAGTGGATAGTTGTTTTTCTAATTCATTTACCTTATCATGGCCTATTGACATTTTTTCAGTATTTAACAATAAATCTCGTCGTGCTGTTCTCAAATCATCTTCCAGCATTAAAATATATTTTGACTTTTCAGCCAATTCTTTTGTTACACCTTCATTAACCGAGAGAAAACTGTCTTCATTACCCCAGTCAGACATTTGTTCCTGGGAGGCAGCCAATGCATTCTGTAACTGTATGGTTTCCTGTAATTTCTGGTTTAGGTTTATTTTAGTTTCTTCCAACTCATTTTCTAAATTAGCGTTGCGTTCCATCGTTTCAAGTATTTCAACTGTTTTTAGTTGAAGAGCATCTCTAAATTCATTTGTCTTTTCTTCGGCATGCCTAACAGTCTCCTCCAATTCTTTTATTTTTGTACTTTGGACCATATTCTTTGCGTTAAGCTCTTGAATTTGATTTTGTTCGGCAGAAGTATCTGTCTGCCTCTCTTTAACATACATATCTAAAGCCCCTTTTTCCATTTCTTTTAATTTTGCTTCTAATTCCTGGCATTGTGTGGTGCGTTTCTTTAGGTTGGCAGCATATTTTTTTAATTTTTCAAGCTGCTCTTTATTCTTCTGCTCAAGCTCTAATTTAACATGTTCAAGTTCAGTAATTAGGGCTTGTAATCTATGATTATCTCTTTCCAACTTAGGTAACTGTTGTTCATTAAGTTTATGAGAATGTATTTCCATTAGTAATTTGTCAACCACCGATTTCTGTTCATCGTTGTCTTTGCATAAACGTTCTATTTCTTTGTTATTTGTATCCAGAAGTTCTTGTATATAAGTCACTTCATCTTCTTTCTCTATAATTTTATTGGTGTTCTCTTCCATTGTTTTGTATAAGTCAATGATTTGTTGATTGAGCGTATCAATTGTTTCCTGCTTGTTTGCCAACTCGTCGACTTGTTCAGCAACTAAAGCTTTATTTATTTTCAAAGATTCACGGAGCTTTTGGCATTCTTTCTCTAAATCTTCTGAAAACTGCACTTTGACTTCATTAGACACTTCCTTTAATAATGCAATTTCAGCTTTCAGATGGGTTATTTGTTCATCACGCTGCTGTAATTCCAACAGTTTGAGATTGACTTCATGCTCATTTTCCTTAAAGGCTTCTATAATTTGTTGTTTTTGTTCCTTAACAAGAGTTTGAAGAATCTCCATTTCTCCCTCGTAGGTTTCACATTTAGCTAAAATGAATTAATAAATTAAACAGAATTATGTGAGAAACATGTAAGAATATACATACCCTCTAGCTCTTTTCTGAGTCGAGTTAGTTGTTCAATTTGTTTTTCGAACGTCATTTCCTTATTGTTTATGAGTTGATCGAAATCTTCTGATAGATTCCGTAACGACGTAAGTTCTATATTAATTCTTGCAACTTCTTCAGTCTTTTCTTCACTGGCCAATCGAGCTTCTTGTAATTGTATTCGCAGATCTTCGACAATTGATTGTAATTCAATTAGTTCAGCCTCAGTTTTTTCTAGTTTTTCTGAAGATTCCAATAACTGTTTATGATTCTTATTAGCTGCTTCTTCACCTATTGCTTGTATGTTATCTGTTGCAGTTTCAGCATTGTCTTTAAGTTCTTGAAGTTCTTCGCGTAACTCATTAACAGTAGCTTTCAGTTCACGGTTTTGTGCTGTCAATTGTTCATATTCCGCTAGTGCTTTCCCGTTCGGTGCTGTTACTGCCACTACAGTTTCCACCACAGTAACTGTTTCAACGGCTGTACTAGCTTCTTTCACTTTCTGCAATAGTTCACTTAATTGTGTGTACGCATTCTTTGCCTCTTTAGCTAACTTTTTAGAAACATTAAATTTTGCATTTTTATCATTCGCTTTTCGATACGCTTCAATTTCCGAGTTTAACTTTGAAAGCGACTTCTCACATTTATCGAAAAGTGTGGCATTTTCGGTACTATCAATGGCAGCCATTACTTCCGAAGATTTCTGTAATGAAGTGAGTCCTTGAGTTAGTTCCCGATTTTGCGCATTTGACTCAGCGATTTGTGCTGCCAGCAATTCTTTTTCTTTAGTCACCTCATTTAGATGTACTTCTAGTTTGGATTTTGAGTGTTCAGCTTGTTGCGCATTTGATTCTAATAATTCTTTTTCTATTACAAGTTCTTTAATTTTACTATGAAGTTCTTGATTTTCTGAGGATAATATTTCCATTTTATCAAGCACTTCACGGCGTTCATTGGTAAATAATTCTATTTTCTTTATTAGCTCTGCACTTTCTTCACGTAACTGTATTAAACTTTCAGTTAACTCTGGACCCATTTCTGTTTGCGTGATCTCATTAACCGAACTCCGCTCATGTTCGGCAACACGGTCTTGATTAATTTGATTATTATATTCATCGATCTCAGCACGTTCTTGCTGTGTTAATCTTTCCACAATTTCAATGGATTCAGCTGAAGAGGACGACTTACTTAGTTTTTCAATTTTATCAAGTAATTCGATATTTTCAGATATATAATGTTCCAATTTCTTGTCTGCTTCTTGTTTTAGATCTTGAAGTTTATCTATTTGCTTATGTAAGTTATCTATCTCTGTATTCTTATCATCTATTTTCTGTTCTAATGATTTCACTAATTGAATTTGTTCCTCCAACTGTTCCTCCATATGAATTTCTGACATTTCAGATTTAACTCTTGCAGATTCCTCACTATTTTTGGTACTGACCTCTTGTTGCAATAAGTGAAGTTCGGTTGACAATGATTCACACTTTTCAAATAGATCAAACTTCTGTTCCTCTAACATCCTTATAGTTTCTTCTAGAATTTTTTGTTTTTCTTCCACACTTTTTTGATCTACATTTTGTATGTTTTCATTATAAATATTCTTGAATTTATTTTCCTCAACCTGAGATAATTGCCACTGCCCTTTTTCGTCTTCTAGTTCTGTAATTTTTTGTTGTAAATCTTCATTGCACTTCTCTAGCCTTATCACTTCGGCGTGCAGATCAGAAGCTTTCTTTAGCTTTTCCATTTGTTTTTCAGTCTGTTTCAGTTTAAGCTTTAGTTTAATCATTGCTTTATTTGACTCATCCAATTTTTGCTTCAGTTGTTGATTTTCATTCTGCAACTCAGTATTGTCAGCCCCTGTCACAGTGGCAGAAAAAAGTGGTTTTGCTTTTAAATTTGCTTGCAACTTTTCCTCTAAAACTTTAAAATTGGCATTGAGTACATTTAGTTCAATTGTTTTCTCCATTAGCTCCTCTTCATATCTTCGCAAGTTCTCCGATCTATCTGCCAAATCTTGACGTTGTGATTCTATTGTTGCCTCCAGCGATAATATTTTCTCAGCTATACTACCATCGCTAACTTCAATTTTATTATTTTTACTTATTGTTTCCTTGAGTTCCCTATTTTCATTCTTATATTTCATTATTTCAGTTTGCAATTCTTGAATTTGATGCGCCATTTCGTCTTTGATTTTTGCATCAGTTTCAGCAGTAGCTGATTCCTTAATACATAATGTATCAGTAGATAGGTCTGTTATATTTTGTTCCATTTCCTCTAGTCTTTTTTGCAATTTATGAGACTCTTCAATTGCATCATTTAATTTTTTTTGACAAGATTGCAGTGCCTCTTCCGTCCCATTACATTTTATTGTTAAATCACATCGCGTAGTTTCTAAAACATCATTGATTTGTTCCAACTCACCAATTCGTTTGATCAGGGATAGTTTTTCTTCAAACGAATCTTCTTCTATGCTTTTCTGTTTTAATTCATCACCCCTTGCCATTTGGCGTGACAGCTTTTGTTGAAGCTCTAGATTTGCATTTTCTAATTCGGCAACTTGTTTTGCAAGCATCATTTTTTCATCATTTAAACGATCGTTCTCAGCTCGGTATTCATTCGAATATTCATTATCATTGCCTTGCAATTGTTTCAATTTCTCAATTTCATTGGACTTCTCTGACAACTCGTTACTTATTGTTTCGATTTCTTTCTCTAAAATATCAATTTGTTTTGTAGGTACCTGATTCAGTGTTTCTGTTAATTCCAATACTTTATTTTCTAATTCCTTAATACGTTTCGGTGCTGATTGCGCTGTTTGAGATTCCTTTTCCAACTGTTTCTCTAGCAGTCGACAGCGATTCTCTAAAAATTTAATGCGCTCCTTCTCCAAGTTAAAGGGTTGTGAAGATAAATCAGTAGCCGACTTATGCCGCTCACGCGAGACTGGTGTATATATTACAGCACTTAAGTCATTCATTGATCTACCTAATTCCGCTGTATCTTCCAGACTTTGTTGCGTCGAATCGAATTTTTCTTTTAACTGTGTCACTAATTGCTCCAAATGTAATTTACTTGAAGCTCGCTGTGCCATTCGAGCTTTGTTGTGTTCCATTTGCTGACGCAGCAAGAGTATTTTTTCACTGTTCGGTATCGATGTATTGGACGACAAAGGAGTTGCAACATCTTGTATTTTCGAAGGTGTGGGATTGGGGGTGGAATAATTAGTAGCTTGGGGGGCAAATGTGTCAGGATGAATATTCGAAATCGTCGTTACTGGTTCGTTCGTTGCTTCATGTTGCGAAGGTGAATCTACACTCTTACGAAATTTAGATTTCGATCTTAAATCCGTCAGCCGTTGAGCAATGTTTTTCACTTTTTCTTTTGCAGTAGAAGTTGATTTTCCATGTGCAACTTCTGACTTTTTTACTAAATCTTTAAGCGCAGCTATTTTCTCCTAAAATATTTAAATTTATTATAAACATATTCTAATTAAAGGATTATTATTGATCTAACCTGCTGCTTAGAAAATTTTTCTTGTATGTTGCTAATATTTGACGATTGCCCTGTACTTTCTTCGCTAGACATATTTATGGATGTTCGAATCTGGTTTCTTTCTTTTGCTTAATTTCTTTAATTAGATTCCTTGCCTTCACACGCTTGTTTTTGTTTAAAGTTTTATAACTAAATCGGTTTTAGAAATAAATAAACGATTTTTACGCGTTCCTTAGTTCTGTTTGACATTTGCACTCTAGAGAAAAAATAACTTAAATATTATTGGTAATTACATAAAATTGCTTACTAAAATCGAAAGTTTTTTAACACTTTTTTGCTATATTCTGAACATTTTAGAAAAGATTATTTTATTTTGCTATTTTCAGACTCTGACGTGTTCGTTGTGATCCAATTTTTTTGTTATCTTCTAAAATTGGTTGAAGATGTTTGGAGGCAATCATTCCACTTTGATATAATTTTGATAACACTTTATTAAATTTATATATAACAGTTTCAAACAATTTATGCAAATACAAAATACAAAAATTATCAAAATTTACCAAAAATTTTGTGAACAAAATTAGTGACAAAACACAAGTTTTTCTTCCATGTCAGCAATAATACAAAACAGTATTGCCTACAGCACAAAAAAATCCCTTTCAAAAGTGATGTTGCCATCTAATGTAGTACAGAACATTATTTCATTCATAATAAATTGGACATTAACTTGCTATATAACATTAATATATATATTTATAATAACTATAAACTATATAAAAACTATAAATAAATGTAGCAACAGTGCTTTGGACATCTTACCTCTGTCCAGTTTCTAAATACCTTTAGCATATAATTATACATTTTATATATGTAATTACACATAATTATTATTATTGCATTGGAACGTTTTTTAACACATTCACACTGTCTCATTTAAACAGTTTTGATCATTTTAACCATTAATGGGGATGATTTACCATACAAAGAGCTTTCATATATGATAAATGAGCCATCACCAATAAATCAGCTCATTTACTACTACGTTTGCCAAATCGCACTGTGTATATTCAAATATACGCATACCAATATATGCATGCCAATTTTCGGTCTACTAACATATATGCGGTAAAATTACACCTTGTTTCAAAGTGTATAGCACAGCGCATACTTGGTCTGTACACTTGGTGTGCATACATGTAGCATCGTCTATATCATGCTTAAAAAACGAAAGAATAATTTCAGAAAATATGTCTAAAGAAATTTGCCTGTAACTTTAATTTAAAAAAAAATTATTTTAGCATTTGATTTACGAAGTTATAAAATTATTTTTTTTACAGTGTTGGACTTACAAAAAATTGACATAAAAATTTATATGGCAACGGCGTAATGTGTTTATATCACCTGAAAAGTTCGAAGATCGCATGCCGGCGTAAACATATTAACGATGGGTTTCCAAAGCTATTTCTGGACGATTTTTGGAGCGGTAACAGGCCTAAAGCTAATGCTTATACCATCATAGTAAGTTCAGATTAAATCTTAAACAATTTGGTTTTAAATAAGGCGCGTTTTTAGTCATTCCACTGACTTTGAGGTACATCGGAACTGGTTAGCAATTACTCATTCTCTTCCATTTAATCGCTGGTATTATGATGCAACAAGTGAATGGACATTGGATTATCCTCCTTTCTTCGCTTATCTAGAATGGGGATTATCGAAAATCGCGTATCTTATTGATCCGAAGATGCTGCAGCTGAATAACCTAAATTACTGCTCCAGTGAGACCAAACACTTTCAACGTATATCTGTTATGGCTTTAGACTTTGTTTACGCCCTCGGTGTAATAAGCTGTTTAAAAGTTTTGCGTATTTCAAAGAAATCACATAAACACTTTACAGCCGAGGTGCTGCTGTTATTCAATGTTGGCCTTTTATTCTTGGATCATATACACTTTCAGTATAATGGGTTTCTATATGGTATATTGCTATTAAGCATAAGTTTCTTACTAGAGGAACGATATTTGTGGTCAGCTTTCACATTTTCAATTTTATTAAACTTTAAACATATATTTTTATATGTAGCTCCAGTATATGCAGTGTATTTATTGAAATTTTACTGCTTGAATAAGACACAAACATTTGTGGGGAAGTTTCTAAAATTAATTGTTGTGGGTTCATTGCCGTTCGTTGTTTCATTCGGACCCTTCTGGAACCATTTGCCACAGGTAGGAATAAAACTTTTTCAAATTTTTTAACTAAAGAATATAAGTTCAAGCCTTAGATTCTGAATCGTTTGTTTCCTTTTAAACGTGGTCTTACTCATGCTTACTGGGCTCCAAATATTTGGGCAATATATAACAGCATTGACAAATTTGCAGCTATAGCACTGGCTAAACCAAAAAGTGGATCTTCGACTACTTCAGGTCTTGTTCAGGAATACGATCATATTGTATTACCAAAAGTTACTCCAATAATTACTTTTGTGTTGACTATACTGTTTATGTTGCCTGTGCTCCTGAAATTATTATTTTATACAAAAAAAAGGTTTGCATCACAAAATTAAAGTTTGATTAGTAAACATGAACGTGTCTTTTTCAGTGAGAGTGGAATCGTGTTCCTGCGTGCTGTTGTTTTATGTTCATGTACTTCATTTATGTTTGGATGGCATGTGCATGAGAAAGCGATTCTAATGTCTTTACTTCCACTTTGGTGAGTTGACAAGTAAATAATTACGTTATTAACAGAAAATAACAAATTTCTATTGTAGTTTCTTAAGCATTTTAAATTCAAAAGACGCTTCTTACTGTATTTGGTTCAGCATAATTGGATACTTTTCACTGTTCCCGCTATTATTTGACATTGATTTGTTAGTAATTCGTTATTCACTTTATTTGGGGTATATATCTTTTATGCTGGCGCAGTTAGTACGCATCCATAAAATGAAGCCATCTGTGAACGTACTTCATGTATTGTATGTAACTGGACTTTTGATAATACCTTTATATGAGCACCTGAGTCCATTGTTGGGGTTGCAACAAAAATTACCGTTCATGACTTTACTATTAACTTCTTTGCATTGCGGTGCAGGTCTTCTTTACGCCTATATTCAATACTATATTCATACACTGACAGATAGAATAAAAATCAGTACTGATTCAGTGGTTGAAAAAGAATCAAAACCAAAAATGTTGAAGAATTCATCATCTAGTAAAAATAATAATAAGTCCAAAAAAAAATAATTCATTTTGTTCATATTTAAAAATCAAAAATAAAAAACTGTTCAATATATATGTACATTAGGGTGGCCGTAATATGTATGGGGGCAAAAAAATGTGTTCGAATTCTAGATGCCACCCCCTAAATTTATTCGAATACTCAAAAAACTACTAAATGTGAAGTTTTAGACTAATCGGATAATGTTTAGAGGTCGCTCATCGACCTTAAACTTCGGAAAAATGCCATTTTTTCACTTTTTTCAAATTTCTTCGCTCCCATCTCGCGTATTTTTCACCTTTGACTATTTGTACCAAATTAATATTATTCTTTAACATATTAGCTTTCAAATAAGGTAAAAATCAATCAATTTCGTCCACAATTAACTAAATTATTACTAAAATAAGAAATCATACTCGACGTTTATTGAAGCTTTCAAGAGCAGCATAAATATGGGAGTAAATACGAGTACGTATGAGCGAAAGCACAGTTTCTTGGACACAAAATGGTACAATATAATATTTGAAGACAATCAAATACTTCCTCACTATATATAATTGTCCACACTTGATTTGAATAATATGCGCAAAATAGATTAATAAATATAATAAAAGGAAAGGAGTCCTTAAGTAATTTATTTAAAAAAAATATTAAATTTATTTATTATTTGACAAAACTGTTTTAGTATACTTTTTAAAAGTCTTTCTATAATCTGTTATTACTTGCAATAAATATTGTTTATCTTGCTCATTTTTACCAAGGCCTCTATTAAATTCTTCTAGGTTCTAGGTTCAAGAAATGTGTAGATATATAGAATCGCTTAAAAAAGTTAATGGTAGTGGCTGTCACAAAATCCTTTGTGAAAGACTTTTAAAAAGTATACTAAAACAGTTTTGTCAAATAATAAATAAATTTAATATTTTTTTTAAATAAATTACTTAAGGACTCCTTTCCTTTTATTATATTTATTAATCTATTTTGTGCATATTATTCAAATCAAGTGTGGACAATTATATATAGTGAGGAAGTATTTGATTGTCTTCAAATATTATATTGTACCATTTTGTGTCCAAGAAACTGTGCTTTCGCTCATACGTACTCGTATTTACTCCCATATTTATGCTGCTCTTGAAAGCTTCAATAAACGTCGAGTATGATTTCTTATTTTAGTAATAATTTAGTTAATTGTGGACGAAATTGATTGATTTTTACCTTATTTGAAAGCTAATATGTTAAAGAATAATATTAATTTGGTACAAATAGTCAAAGGTGAAAAATACGCGAGATGGGAGCGAAGAAATTTGAAAAAAGTGAAAAAATGGCATTTTTCCGAAGTTTAAGGTCGATGAGCGACCTCTAAACATTATCCGATTAGTCTAAAACTTCACATTTAGTAGTTTTTTGAGTATTCGAAAAATTTAGGGGGTGGCATCTAGAATTTGAACACATTCGTAAATAACGGCCACCCTAATGTACATATATACTTTATATATATACTGTATATACGGTACTTAATGTATAAATGTATATTTAGTTATTTATTCACAATTTTCAAATTAATTAGCAAAGCTTTCTGATTTGGGTTAGCAATTGTTGTGGCTCTTTTTTAGGTGGTCTTTTAAATGTTCTGGTCCAGGTGCAACCAAAACATTTAATAAAAATAAAATCTCTCCAAAGAGAAAATGTGATATGTACATAGTTTTAAGAGTTTAATATCTCATAGCTTGAGTTACACTTCGACTTACTGCAATTTATTTTAGATGAGATCAATTGATTTAAATAACAATTCAAGATACAGATTAGGATATAGGATACAGATACAGATTAGGTAGAAGGGGTAACTTAGAAGAAGAGGTTTTTGGGATAAGGAATGTATGCGGAGTGGATGGATTTAATTGAAACTAGCCTGAATCGGGGTGGAGAATCCTTATCAATTCAATGCGTTGAATTTAAAAATGAATAGGATTCAATGTAGTCTGTACATGAGGATATAAGAACAGAGGAATTACATAATGAGGCGTAGAGTAGCAGTTGGGGCAGACGTTTGAAATTGATATTTTTGCATAACAAGTAGTTATTAAGCACTTGTCCATTGCAATTGACGATGTATTCACGATGTAAAAATAGGGTTAGATAGAATTTTTATGGTTGTGAAATGCCTTGCTTTAATTTCCTAGCTTTCGACAACTTCTAAAGTAGTGGTAAGATCTCACAAAGGTGAGAGGTGAGGTGGTACTGTGATATTTCGGAACTCCATGTAGATGGAGAGCAAGGTGACTGTGTGGCAAAATCGGCTTTAGAATCAGTGACTACAGACTTTAGCTATTGGAGAAAGCAGAGAAATTCATCCATTCCCATCGATTCGTCTGTTTTCGACAGAGGGAATTACATCAAAAATATATAGTTTCATTATTGCATCAATTTTTAAACAGAAATGAAAACAATAAAAATCAATATATTTAGACTTCGGTATCAAGATTACGTAATACTGATGAAATCGTTCATTAAGTTTACAATTGTAAAGTGTTTGGCCCGGGTGGCGTAATCCAATGGAGTAAGTCCGAGTAAGTCGGTTTCTTCGAGATTTTCGTGAAAAGGTAGCAAAAACCGAACGATATCTTCATGGCCATGGAGCGCAGCTAAGTGTAATGCAGTTCGGCCGGAAGGATCTGGTTGAGTTAAGTCAGCACCAGCTAATTGATATGACTTCAGTCGTTTCATTGAACCCCGTGCAGCTGCAGCACACAGCTTTTCGCCTATTCCTCTAGATGAACCTGTTAAATGTGCTCCACAATTGATCAACAATTGTATAATTTCATGGTTGTCTGTAGTTATAGCTTCATGTAGAGGAGTACGGTCGTACCGATCTCTTATATGTACAGATACTCCATTAAGAAGTAAATAATTCACAATTTCTGCGTTACCATTATGACAGGCTAGATGCAAAGCAGTGCGATGGTCTTGGTTTGTTCCAGATAAATCTGCACCATATGATTTGAGATTGTTCAACTTAAATGAAAACTGGTTGCATTATGATTTTTGAACTGAAATTTAATGAAAATTTTATTTCAACTAACATTCGGTATATCGGACGTAATAACGGCATTAGCTAACATTGCAGGAAATAATGTGGCTTCCAATTGCTCGAGGTCTCTTGCTGAAAATATTTGTAAAGATTTCGCGACAGCTTCCACTAAATGAAATTCTTCTATGTTAGGGTCAGTTGGAGATGTCAGCTCGCCTCTTAGATTTGATTGCATCATCTGTTATTTTGTAATTAATTTTAAATACGTTTATTAGAACAATTTAAGCAGACCTGTTTTTTTTTTTCAAGGGACCATTCCGCTTTTCCAAGTACATAAGAAAGTTTTGTCAATGCAGCTTCTGGTGTCATATCGAATCCTGATAAAACTCCCAAATCAAATAATATTTTTCCTGTATCATAAATTTCTGCAACAGAACCGTTCGCACATTGTGTGCAATTGATTATAATCACTCCACGATCGACAGCAGTTTTAATAGCATCTAAAATATCTTGTCGATTTGACGGAATATTTCCAGAGCCAAAAGACTGTAATACAACTCCTTTTAATGGAGGAGATAAAAATGCTTGAAACGTACTTCGTGATATACTGGGAAATATACGTAAAATTCCAACATTTTCGTCAAGTTCTGAATGCACGGTGAATCTTGATACACTACATGGTCGAAATATTAGTCTGTAATCAATGTCCACACTGACACCTATGCGTCCTAGAGGTGGCGAGTTCGGAGATTCAAAAGCATCAAGTGCGTTTGAACTTATTTTAACTGTTCTATTTCCACGAAATAATTTATTTCCGAAAAATACACATACTTCTGGTAAAACATAATTGCCGGCAATAATCAAAGCAGATATGAAGTTATCTGTTCCATCTGTACGAGTTTCGAATATAGGAATTTGTGAACCAGTTATAATTACAGTCTTTCCAAGATTTTCCAACATGAATGAAAGTGCTGAAGCTGTGTAGGAAAGGGTATCTGTGCCATGTAATACTACAAACCCATCAAACGTTTCATATGATTGCTGAGTAGGAAAATTCATTGAAGTCATTTATTTCCTATTTAAGTTCTGTTTTATATAACAAACACAACTTACATAAATATCTTTTGCTATTCGTGCCCAATCGAGCATAGTCATATTGCTGGAATCTAATAATGGATCGTACTCTGTAATATGATATATTACTCTTCGTAGCTCACCGTCAGCATGTGGCAGTACAAGTGGAGTTGTGGCTGTAGACATCCCGAAACGTTTTTCTGCATACTCTTGGTCGTGCATATTGGGATATTTACAAATTTGTTTTACCAGAGCATTTGGAATAGGCGCTAAAACTAAAACTCACATGAAGGTATAAAATCAAAATTCCACTCTGTACCTATTTCAGTTTACAGCTTCTTACCATTTCTTTTATTCCGCATCATGCCTATTGTACCGCCTGTGTAGATCACTCGAACTTGTGTCTCCTTGGTATCTGTTTTCATAAGGATGCTTTCGCTTTTATTACTTTTAAGTGTTGATCTAATACTATTTGTTGAATTTCGGTTGACAAATTCCATTGGTAATTCATTGGTGTTCTTTATGGTATTTTGGTTGCTACGTATAATTATAAATTCTTACTTTTACAGTGATTTCTTATCATGTTAAAATTTTATAGATCAATTATTTAAAACATAATTTATTTCGAAATACCATATACAATAGAATGGTTATTTCTACAAGTTATTTATTACATTCAATGTAATATATTAATACTCTATTTACAGGTAGTTACTGCTAGTCTTAGTCTCTGAACTACAACTGGGCTATTATCTATTTGTATTTTATAATATTCATACTAAAATTTTTTCAATTTGACATAAGATAACCATTTATTATTGGGAGTATTAAGGATAAATAGTATCAAAACAGAGCACTATACATAAAGATAAGGTTTTTTGAAATATATATATATAATATGTATTATACAATATATATTATATAATATATATCATATATATAATTTTATATATATATTATATACATATATATAGAATGGATGAATGTTTTAAATAACTAATGAATTCGATAATTTTTCTGAACGTGATAAATAATTAACTGAGATAGCTTAGAATTTTTTGCTTTAAGAAAATATTTTCAATTTCCTTTTAAAATGTACTTAGAACTAGTTTCAAAGTTAATAATAGTTATTTCTTTATGATTCTACAAAATATCATACGAACCATAGTTGGCTTGTGTTAAATTTTATTTTTGTTAAAAAGATTTTTTCATTCTCGAACTCGTTAAACCAAAAAGTGGATGTTTTTATTTTTGAATTTTGCTATTTTATAAAACTATGAATGGCGTTTTAGTAATTATTTTCACATCGCGGTTGCAATTCTACTACTGTGATCGGTAAACAAAACTGACAATTTGAAAGTAAATTAATCAAAATGTAAATGGATATTTTATATAAAAATTTTGTAAAATCAAAACTTATGCTTTTGAAAAGAATTACTTTACTAGAACCTCTCCAAAACACGTTTTTTAACTTTAGTCTTCATGAACTTTCAGAAATTTTCATTCAACTGATATTATCCAGACGTCGGCGATAGTTATTTTTTGTGGATTTAAATTGCAATTTATATTGAAATTTGCTATGCTAAGAGATAATCCTTAATTCAAGCAGACGTGGTGATTTATTATTCACTGAATCCATGTTAAGGCCTATCAAGTAAATAATAGCAAATGAAGGCAGTAAATAGTTCTATCGTAAAGATATGAGGTAATATGATAGGACGTACTGCAAGTCGAGCGAATAAGATTTGAATATGATTTAATGTAGTATTGATCGTGTATCTATTATAAAATATACTCATTCTGAATTTGATATGTACACTGCACAGGTACCACTATCGAATGTTGGAGTATGGAATTTTTTAATTTGTTATTGTGGTTTCGTTCTTAACTATACTTGGTTTTCGATAAAAGAATATTTCTTTAAATGTTTAGAAAAAGAAAATTTGTTGCTAGAACTGGTTTTAGAGTTCTGGTTCTGGTTTTTAGAGTACTGGTTTTAGAATTTTTCGTTACAAAAAATCTTATAGTAAAAAAAATGTTGAAAGGGTTTCGATTTTAGTTGCGATGTTATATTTTTCATTTTATATTTATATTATTAATTTAAAATATCACCGTTTAAAATTTTTACAATATTATTCTGTTCCGCACGTGTGGCATAGTCCAATGCAGTATGTCCGAGTAAGTCGGTTTCTTCGAGATTTTCGTGAAAAGGTAGCAAAAACCGAACGATATCTTCATGGCCATGGAGCGCAGCTAAGTGTAATGCAGTTCGGCCAGAAGGATCTGGTTGAGTTAAGTCAGCACCAGCTAATTGATATGACTTTAGTCGTTTCATTGAACCCCGTGCAGCTGCAGCACACAGCTGTTCACCAATTCCTCTAGATGAACCTGTTAAATGTGCTCCACAATTGATCAACAATTGTATAATTTCATGGTTGTCTGTAGTTATGGCTTCATGCAGAGGAGTGCGGTCGTACCGATCTCTTATATGTACAGATACTCCATTTAGAAGTAAATGATTTACTATTCCTATCTTGCCTTCATGACAAGCCAGATGCAAAGCAGTGCGATGGTCTTGGTTCGTTCCAGATAAATCTGCACCATATGATTTGAGATTGTTTATCTTAAATGAAAAAAAATCTTTATTACAATGACGGTGTATTGCAAATTTATACCCACCTTCGGTATATCACCTGCAATGACAGCACTATTTAACATGGCTGGAAATAGTGTGGCACCTAGTTGTCCGAGATCTTGGGGAGATGATAAATGTAATGATCTTGCTACAGCATCCACTAGATCAAATTCTTCCATTTTTGGTCCAGATGCCGACGTTAGTTCACCTCTTAAGTTTGATTGCATCATCTGTTAATTTATAAGTAAACAATATTAAATACATTTTATAGAATATTATGAACAAACTTGTTTTTTTTCTTCAAGAGACCATTCCGCTTTTCCGAGTACATAAGAAAGTTTTGTCAACGCCGCTTCTGGTGTCATGTCAAAACCTGGTAGCACGCCTAAATCAAATAAAACCTTTCCTGTATCATAAATTTCTGCAACAGAACCTTTTGCACACTGCGTGCAATTTATGATAATCACTCCACGATCAGCCGCAATCTTAAGCTCATCTAAAATGTCTTGTCGATTTGAAGGCACATTTCCAGAGCCAAAAGACTGCAATACAACTCCTTTTAATGGAGGAGATAAAAATGCTTGAAACGTACTTCGTGATATACTGGGAAATATACGTAAAATTCCAACATTTTCGTCAAGTTCTGAATGCACGGTAAATCTTGATACACTACATGGTCGAAATATTAGTCTGTAATCAATGTCCACACTGACACCTATGCGTCCTAGAGGTGGCGAGTTCGGAGATTCAAAAGCATCAAGTGCGTTTGAACTTATCTTAACTGTTCTATTTCCACGAAACAATTTATTTCCGAAAAATACACATACTTCTGGTAAAACATAATTGCCGGCAATAATCAAAGCTGATGTGAAGTTATCTTTACCATCTGTACGAGTTTCGAATATAGGAATTTGTGAACCAGTTATAATTACAGTCTTTCCAAGATTTTCCAACATGAATGAAAGTGCTGAAGCTGTGTAGGAGAGGGTATCTGTGCCATGTAATACTACAAACCCATCAAAAAATTCATATGATTGCTGTTAACAGAAAATTATTATATACTATAAGAGCTGCTTATATGAAAAAGTACAACTTACATGGATGTCTTTTGCTATTCGTGCCCAATCCTGCATTGTCATATTGCTGGAATCTAATATAGGAACATATTCCGTGATTTGATATATGACTCTTCTTAACTCGCCTTGTACATGCGGCAAAACAAGAGGCGCCATGGAAGCAGCATTCCCAAAACGTTTTTCAGCATACTCTTGGTCGTGCATATTCGGATATTTGCGAATTCGTTTCACCAGAGCATTTGGAATAGGTGCCAACACTAAATATAGAGATGACAAAATTATTAACACTTATATTTTTGGATTGTCTATTTAGTTAAACTCTCCGCTCTAACTAACCATTTCTTTCGTTACGCATCATCCCTATTGTACCACCCGTGTAGATGACGCGAACTCTGGCCTCCTTTATTTCTGTTGTCATGAGATTACCGTCACTTGTATTGCGTTTAAGCGACGAACTAATACTTTTTGTTGGCGACGCTGGTATTGCATTGTCTAAAGACGTCATTGAGCTTTGACTAGCAAATTTTATTTGTATTCCGCTAGGCTCAGTTACAACTGTTCCATTTGTAGTTGATGGCAACATGTTTCTGATTGTTGATGTTATTTATTAAAACTTAAAATAAATTGAAATAAAATATTATAAAAAAAATTTCAAAATACAATAATATATTATTAATAAGTTACAATTTGCAGCTCATAACATATAGTTAATTAAAAAGAAATATAGTAAATTCAGACAGATGAGATTGCTTTAGCGATAATCTAGAAGTGCACATTGGCCTTATTTCATAATGTGTAAGCAAAGTAGAGGTATTTTCTTTTCTTAACTTTAAACATTTTCACAAATTTGCTTCATTTTATACCTCGAATAAATTAGTAATAAACATCGTATAATAATATAACTATCTCATTTCCGTACAAAAATTGTCGTAAGATGTATCTAAGGATTATACCAACAGTTTCTCTTTAGTATATAGAAAATATTTCTTAATAGAATGAAAGTTTAGTTTAGTTTATATTCACAATATTTTTTATTATAATGTGGATGAGATTATAATCATTAATAAAATTAAAAGCAACACATCGTAGTACAGCTAGACTGTTGTCAGCCTTAGATCATTGCCAGCAACTGTTTACTTTGCTACTACTTTACTTTCTTGTATAAATAACAATATTTATTAAAAAATATTTAAATTTTAAAAGATGTGCGAAAATAGTTCAAAACAATTTATAGGTGAAAATTTTATCTATAAACATCACTTATGAGGGATGATTTGCACTGATTTTCTATTGTGATTATCTCTAATATTACGTGAGAGATATACTATGTGCGTGTATTTTTATATTGTACACATAACAAATAATATGAGTGCTAATTTCTGCTATATAAATATAAATATATATATACTTAAACCTTTGTTGCTAATAGAATAAATACGTATTGTGTATTATTTATACAGATTATACAGAAGATATTATACAGAAGAATTGTTATTTTGATTCTATTAACTGAGACTGGTTATATGCTTTAAATAAAGTGAGAAAAGTTAAATCCAGCCAAGGTTATATCGGGAACCTACCTAATTATATGAATTCTAAATAGAATGCATCGATAGAGGTGATGTTGTTTAACTGGTGCCTAATAATCAAATGAAACATTTTAAGATATAATAGATAATTTTAAAAGTGAATATAGAGATAGTTGATAGAGATATTTACTTGGTTCTGTCGAAGGTGCAATATTATTTATACAGATTTATGGTTTTAACTTTCGCATGTATTTATGCCTACGTCACTATATTCTAAATTGCTAATATACTGTTACTGTTATTGAAAGTTTATTGTGGTATTATATGTATTATCTTAACAGTTCGGTAGTATGGAAAAGAAAAAGATATAAAATTTTCTCTATCAATTTATTTACTTAGCTATATCTACTCTCGAATATTAAAACTGAATAGGTTGACATATAAAAGAGTTTTTTTTTCCAAGCGCTTATATAAATCGAGAAATTAAATGACACTTTAATTCAAATCTTTCTCGATTTGAACAAAATTTCAACTCTACACTTTATTTATAATGAGAAACTCATTTAACAGCTGGTTTAGAGCTGTTCGTTTTATATGATATTCGAACTATTCGATAAACTTGAATATACGGATGCACATCAAAAAGTTCGAATAGTTAAAACCGCACGAATAACCAAACGTTTTATATTCGAATATTTGAGATAGTTAAGCACATAAAAATTCAGCGGCTTTCCTTGTTTGATCATGTCGAGCGAATAGAAGAAAGTGCTTCGGTTAGAAAGGTGTTTGATTCGGTACCCACAGGTGGAAAACGCGGTAGAAGATGTTCTTCGGTGATCTTCGGTGGAAGAACTAGATGACCAACAATTTGAGGGAGGCTACTCGACGCGGCCAAGGACGACTCATGCTCTAATGGCCAACTAAGTAAGTAAGTATTTGAAATCGTAGATTTATGCAATTTATTGGAATGTGTAACATTTATATGATACATTACAATACATGGGTTGTAGATAAGAGAAGGTATACCACCAAATAATATATTTTTGCTATTTTAAAACTAGTTGAAGAAATTAATGAATTCTTTCTGTTACTTTTAGTAGAAAGATTATCTAATAAAATTATATTATTTGAATACGAACATCACCATTTTAGCTTATATAGTATCTTCAGCTATTTTCACACTATTTATTAACACTTTTCCATTATTATTTTAGTTAGTGTTACTCGATTTGCAATTAAACAAATTCATTCAAAAATGATTTAAAATGTTTGTTTTAAACACTTTTCGTTGAAATAATTCTTGGCATTTTTTTTTAATTTAAGATTTTTGATTTCGATACATTCGTTTTTCGTTTAATTATTGAAAAATATATCTGAACTAACTTCACTTCGGTTGTTTTTGAAGGTTTCTAATATCGCAAGTGAAACTCTTTCCAAGGTTAATCACACACAGTTTACTTTATTAGAACCTCTCTATTGACTATTTATTCTTTGTTTAGCGAAACTCGTGCTTTTAATGGATGCAGTAGGTGTGTAGATATTCGCATATACACATCGACATTTCAAATAAAAATTCGAAATTTCGCCATGAAGCAGCTGAATAGATAATATACATAAGCGCGACGCAGCGGCATTTCGCAACTTTTATAGAAAATTTCGGTTTCGGACATCAAATATATCAAATTTATCTTAAATTCGTAAAAACACATTTATTTTGAGTAATTTCCAAAGAAATTTACTGGTCAATTATTTAAGAAGTTAACTGGTAGTAAAAGAAACATATTTTATAAGTTACCATATAATTTACTGATTCTAAGATTTTTTTGTAATTACAGTGCTTTGACTGGAGTGTTCTAGATTGAAGGTTACTTTAAAATATGTCATTATAATAAGAATATTATTAGCAAAAAACAGCAATTCACTGTGCAAATAAGTTATTTTCAGCACTTGTTTGAAGAGAATACGCGAAGAGCGAACCAAGCCGATAGTGACTTGGTAGTGCCAAGTTCAAGTACTAATTTCTTGAGCTATCGAAACACAAAACAAATCAATAAATTAAAGTCTTGAAATACAAGTAAAAGATACCTAATTGAACTTACCGAATCTGAACAGTTAAACACGAATAATTTTTTTCTATAATTTGTAGATATTTATCTGTGGATACATGTGCTTCTGCGTCAAAACTAATTTTGGACTTTCTAATTCTAAAAGCATTCAACTTATGCAATTATTTGCGTATTTCAGAAATGTTTCCACTTCAAAGTAATTACGGATTTCACAGTTTAATTCTTGTATATTTTATATCTACTTATACATCTACATATATTTTTTTTATCTTTCAACACATTTGTAGATATAATTTTGAATTTGTTTTTTGGAAAACACATGCGGTTAGAATGAAATCATTTTTTAAGGCAACGGCCACTTGTGTTAAGACTAAGCAGCATTTTTAGGTAAAACCGAGGAAACCGAGGAAACCGAGGCAACCAGAATAAGACCAACATCAACGCCTCTCAAAATTTGACTAAAGTCACTTAATAGAAATACAAAACTTTAATGCCAAAGAAAACACAACTTTTCTATATTAATTCTCTTCTGAGAAACTAAACATTTTTTATTTTGCCAGAGTAAATATTTGTTTCTCTTCGGTTTCAAAATGTACTGTCTTATTCATTCAACTCACACTTATCTTACATCTGCTGAATCGATATTCAATATCTTCAGAATCAAGTCCAAATTGATATTGAAAAAATTGAAATTCTGTCTTTAAAAAAATTTATTTACACTCATTGAATTGTAGTTATTCCTCTATTTCTATTGAGAAATAGAGGCAGAACATTGAGTTTGTTGTGAATTTAGGATATTACTAGCGAAAATCTGGGCACGAACACATACTATATTCCATTAAAGATATATATAGATTTTAGCAACTTACATCTAACTCAACAGTAAGTATGACAAAACGCCAAAAATGATTACATTTAAGGAGTTTTTGGTGACATCATCTAATGACATCGCTACGTAACTGTCTCGTGCGAGTTGACCTGAAAAATTGCACCATTTCAACATATGCGCTCTAACAATAATAACAATACGCGCTCATACGATATGAGCAAAGAGCCATCTGAGAAGTTGTCAAGAACGGTAGAAATATTCCATAATTCTTGAGGAGGTGGAAAAACACCCTCTTTACACTATCTCTCTATTTGTGAGTTCTCTAGCATGCTAAATTGTGTACCGGCATTTATGTATTGTGTTTTTTGTATACAATTTTATCAGTTGTTTATAAAAAAGAGCGCTCCTTGTTCAATATATATCTATAAAAGAAGAAGCATTATTTGTGAAAAATATCAGGTAAACAAATTTTTATATATAAGCAATTTGTCTATTTCGTATTCTTTTTTGAATTGTTTTACTATAGTTGGAAAGTAATTTATTAATTGAGTAAATGCAAAATTTATATACATCTGGTTGTATCAACGCCTAAATCAAGGTGTACGGTATAGTAAGTATCTTTATTGCTGTTTAAAATATATCCACAATATAGATTTCTAAAAGGTACAACCATCATTTTTATTGATGTCTTAACATATTGAATATTTGAAATCAGTTACTAATATTTACTTCAATTCGGGTTTCTGCAGTGTAATTAATAAGGTCAATTAACTAAGAAATTAGTACTAATCATTGTGGCAATCAACAGTTGTTTGTAAAAATTATGAGGAACTCACTCCAAGTCCAACGGCATTCATTAATTTACTAAAAATAAACTAAAATAAAATAATATAAACTAAAATAATAGTAAAGCTCAAAGCATCTAGTTACATTTAACGCTGCGAACGCCAGTTTGATCCTCGTCAAATTCATACTTTACTTAAGCTCGCATATCCATGACCATACTGAAGGCTTTTACAGATTTACAGATTGAATGATTTGCGCGGCGATTGGTTTATTTATTATTGACAATTTTATCACTATTTAATAAGTGATATTATTATATATGAATATCAACTTCATGTATTTTAACAGACAATTTAAATTTAGTCGGTGATGTAATTATATACATAGATAATTTATATTTGAGTGTCTGGGACTATTATGTTCTATATGAACATTTTATAAAAATTATTGGTTTAATGCAAGTAGAAAAAAATGTCGAAATTTTTATCAGTTTGAAATACAGATGGTTTAATACTCCAAAACAAAGATTCAGACATCGATAATCTTTAAATTATCGATTTTATCTGAAAGGTTTTTATAACCTTTAAATATAAACTATAAAAACTGTACAATTTTCTTTAGTAAAGAAATTAAAAGAAATTCATATAAATAAAGAAATAAATACTTTCTGTTTTTTCATAAATTCAATTTATTAAACATTTACAATTAATTTGTTCATCAAAAAATACCCATAAACTATATAACTCACTTCTTTAATACAACATATGTAAATATCTTTTTATCTTAATTATATACTAACATTTCTTAACAATTTTCATAGTTCTGAAACAGTTTTGTCATGCCTGAGAATCCATAAATCAAGCATCCATTTATTTATATTAGCAGTACTGAGAGTAAGTACAACCAGTGAATAACAAGAATTAAGATAATTTTTATCTTTATTCACTGAGTTTATCTCCATAAGCTATATTATCTACGTGTCAGTATTATCTTTGTATTATCGTAGTGCTCAAATTATAATATTGCCTACATGTATTTATAGATACTCAAGCAAATCAGAACGTTCAAAACAATTTTTAGTTATGAATCCAACTACTTAGGTAAATAATTTTTGATGTGAAACATTCAAAATCTTAATTTCTACACATTTAAATATTTCGAATTTCAAAATAGTATTTCCATGTCTTTCATTTTTAAACCTTTATAATTTTTTTTACAAATACAATAACAACAAAATAAATTTTATATATTTTCTTTTTAGTTTTTATATATTTATTCCATATATGTATATATATAACAGGCGTCGTTTAGTTATTTAATTGGGCTGAAGCGGTAGCAGGTTGAACTCTTAAAAACTTAATAGGTCTCCCATATCCAATAGGAATATTGTTTTCATAATAGTTAATTTTATGATTGAACTCTAATGATGTCTAGTCAATGACTAATGAACATACCATTATATGGTAAATAAATAATTAATTATTATTTACTTAGTGATTTAATTTATTGTAGAGAAATGAATCAATATTCAAGTAAATAAATTGATTGTTATTCAATGATGTCTTTCTCGGTATATAATGTACTGTTATATAAATAATGTACAATAGTTAATAATGTTTTATATAATAAACTGAGAAGAGACCCCTTTTAATGGGACCTATGGAATAATATTGACTTTTTGGCTAAGCAAGATTTTAAAATTTGTAAGTAATGAGGTTAAGCCATGATTTCGTCAGACAGAGAAGTATTCAACTGTGCATCATTCCCGCTATAAGCAACAATTTTGATTTCACAGATAATAAAATTAAGCGCCTGTAAATGAAATTATTTACTTTGTTTTATTTAAATCAACTATAATTTTTTTATTATATACATAGTACACATATTTTATTGATGTAAATACCAATTAAGACTGAGATTTTTACACTGAGATTTTTCTATAGTTTTATTTTGTAGATATATTTATTCTCTTTATGAATTGTTCCAAAAATATTTGTTTACAAATTACATTATTTATTTTTGTTGTAGTATATTTTATTCATTGTACTATCTTCACCTTATCTTCAGGTAATGGTGGGTAAAAGGACTTTGTTAAGCTTCGACTTTATGTGGTAAATTTTTATTTAAATAAAATTTTTATATCGTAGTGTGAAATGTCAAATCTAGACAGACTTTCAATACACTAACATGAATTTGAATATTTCTTAAGGTATTTAATTTAAAAATTTGTAGAATTTTAAAAAGCATATACTATACAAATTATAGATACTTAATATCAATTGAAAATAAATTCATGAAACTCTAATAACTAGTTTGCTAATGATACTAACATTCAGCTAATATTTTTCTAAATTAAATTAAAATTCAACATTTGCCTTCGCTCTAATATTTGATTTCAATAATATATATTTCTTAATTTTATATTTTATGTTAAGTTATGCACTTTAATAAAATGTTCACATTTTATCACATAAGAAAGAATTTCCAAGGAAACAAGCTAATACTTATTAATATTTGGTTTCAAGTTTTATATATAATTCAGTTTAAATCCCCAACCTCTCATATCTCACATCTAATTGAGAAAGAAAGATAGAGAGATAGCGTGAACAGATTCCTTCCAAATTTTAATATATATGTTAATACTTTTACTTTTAATGCAGTTTTTAGTAGTTTTTATACAATTGATGCAAAAGTTGATCATTTGTCATTGTCTGGTCATTATCTCCATTTCCCTATGGTATGGATAAATAGCGGAAGCTTTGCAGATTTTTCAACTTATGTATCTATGAAAAAATACTGTTATCTTAAGTATTAACTCTGACTACAACTGACACTTAAGCTAAATTTTACATAATTAACATTGGCAAAATAAAATATATTCTTTCGCTTTACTCTTAAACATTTTGAACTCTAAGCACTAAGCGTATTTAACATTCACAAACTGAAGTGGCTGCAGATACAGATACTAGCAGCTTGCAATTTAGAGATTTACATTTTTAAACATACGATTAGCATTAAATTTTTTAACATATTCATTCATAAGTATTTGGACTTATTTATTCATTTATAATTAATATTTTTGGTTAATTTCAAATAATTTAAATACTTCTTTTTTTTAAAATTACTTTAACTTAAATTTGAACTTTGTTCGATTTATATGTAATTTTTTTTAGAATTAATGTGATTTAAATTTTTTTTTTGCTTTTAAAGTATAATATTAATTTTTAAAACTTTTTTACTTAGTTTAAAAACATTTTACTTTAGGTAGTTTGAAACACCATCAAACAACAGGAGGAAACAGTCTTTCTAGCCAGGTACCTATAAGATGCAAATGCAAAATAGTCTTTCAATGCATTTTCTGAAAATAAATCAAATTAAATAAGATACTGAAATATAATATTCGTATATATATATACTGGTAACAAAAAACAAAAAAAAATTATTTGTTTAAACCAACAATGCAATAAGTTGCGAAGTTAGGCTAAATACATAGTATTAGCAATGAAAAGGCTATCAGCTGGAAAAAATCAAACTTTTGTAGTTTATAAGGATTTAAGAAGTTTTTATGGTGGCTAAGAGAAGAGCCGAAATATTCTGTTTATTTTAAAATCTATTTAAACCGTTATTGCACAGACTTTCAAGGCTTACAGTGACAGGCTGTTTTTTAATTTTATTTAAAATCTTTCATAAATGCTACATTAGGGTGGCTCAGAAAAACTAAAATGCGATTTTTAATGAGCGCACCCCCTAGGAATATGCCATTGACCAAAAAAATGATATTCCCAAAGTTTTGGAGCTGGGTTTTCAGGACAAAAAACAGTAATTTTTCAATTCAAGGTCATTTTTTATCTTTGTTACTTGTTTCAACACTTATTAATATATACTCATTTGATAGATAATTAAAATATCTTTTTAATAAGATACTGATGAGCAAAATCGGTTAAAAACTATGCGCAAAACACAATAATTAGTTCAGCGACTGTGCTCTGTTTTCTATTTCATACCTTTTAGCTGGCATGCACAATGCTATCGCAAATGTTTACAAGAAACGGAAGAAACATAAATAAAAAATAAAAATAATACATTTCTACTTAATAATTTATATAGATATTTAAGTAGAATTGAAAAAGTAGTCAAAACAAGAATTTTTTCGTAAGCAAAGAGAAAATGGTCGTACAGGGAATATGACTGAAGTTAATATCCTTTTAGCAAACGAAGCAAGAGCGGCTAAAAATTGCATTGATTTTAATTTGAATAAATTCGATGAAGAAATTTGTCTCAAAATGGAAGTTGAATCTTTAGACACAGTTCAACAAAATTGGGATAACGCAGACAGAACGATTCAATTTATCACTCCTAGTTTAGTTTCCGCCCTTGACAAATGCAAGGTTTCGGATCGCTACGCTATACATATTTTGTAGTTGTAGGTATGACGCCCAGGTGCCATCTAAGATTCTCGATGGATGGCGAAAATCATGTACTTACTAAAAATATTTCTTTTAAGAGATCAATTTACATATAACTCGGATGATTTGTACGAGATATATACATTTTTATAGTGAGCATATGTGTGAACATTTTAACCCACACTAGGTTAGGTTATGTTCGGAAGGCACGTGCTAACAGTTGTCAGCACTTCTACTCGGAGACATATATTGCCCATTGGGATGCCCTTAAAAAATTTTACCAGGAGATGCGAGTTGCTAACCTTTGTTATCCTTGTAAAACCATTTGGTTTTCCAGATGAAGTTGAGGAGATTCGATAAGTTTGCTTTCGTTATCTCTTCCAAGCCAGTAAAATAAGGATCCCCAAGACATTAAAGTAGGCTTGTTTGAAGTCCTGGACAGAGACACAGGAAGTGGTTGATAGATTTTACCTCCTCTTCATCTTGGCAACTCCTGTATAATCCACTTGTTGGAACTCGCCACCGTTGGAGCATAGGCGCAATGGCACAGTGCCCCTGCACACGAACTGCAGGTTTGCTCAAACCTTGAAGGCTTTTCGTTTTATTTTTGTCCAACTTAGGCCTTAAGATTCTAGCGACCTTACAGTCTTCGCGGTTAGTTTATAAATTGTTAGTCACCGTATTGATTCCCTCTATTATCCTAAACAGTGATTGAATGATTGAAAGAGGAATTAGGCTTATGATGGATTATAATTCGATTTTGACAAAATATGAAGAGGAAAAACAATATGTTCTCCAAGTAGTCGAACATTATCATAAAAATTATCCTTCACATAGTCAGATTTATGCTATAAAACATAATAAACACAATGTATTAATTACTGAAAAAAAAAGTTTTATTGAAATTATAATTTTTTATAAATAATTAACTAAATCGTAGCATATACCTATTACGTAATTGTGCATGCCATCTAAAAGGTATGAAATAGAAAACAGAGCACAGTCGCTGAACTAATTATTGTGTTTTGCGCATAGTTTTTAACCGATTTTGCTCATCAGTATCTTATTAAAAAGATATTTTAATTATCTATCAAATGAGTATATATTAATAAGTGTTGAAACAAGTAACAAAGATAAAAAATGACCTTGAATTGAAAAATTACTGTTTTTTGTCCTGAAAACCCAACTTTGCTCGAGTGGCGCAACGTCATTTTTAATCCTATTGCTCCAAAACTTTGGGAATATCATTTTTTTGGTCAATGGCATATTCCTAGGGGGTGCGCTCATTCAAAACTTCATTTTTAATTTTCCCCCTTATAACGTGAGCCACCCTAATGCTACATACATCCGATTGTTAGGTTCCATATTCAGTTGAAGTTTAGAAATAATTCACAGCGTTGTATTTATAAACACAGTTATTAAATATGTTAAATAACTAAGAACTTAATTCTCTTTATTTTTCCTTATAATGTTTCCTTATAATGTGTTTAGTAAAAAAGAATTTATTTAAGAAAAATAAAAAAGAAATGATTTTCATTTACACATTTCATTTAAAATTATATTAAGATATAATTTAAAAATAAAAAAAAAGATTTTAATTCAGATTATTTTTCAAACTAAAGATTAACTACATTTGAACAATAGGATTTGATTTAGAGAAATGTGACGCCTATCTAATCATCTACACTATTGCGATTTGAAGGAAACGTCTGACTTATATCGATCTGAAGTCTTGAACCAAGTGCTATTGTTAGACATACTAAAAACTTTTTTGTCAAAGTTAGCTAAGGATACTATTTTCAAGAATACTATAACAGATCCTGCATCATTGGTCCTTCTAATAATAATAATTAATTAAAATAATTACCAGTCCAGTATATTTTGTTGGTTTTATTTGGCCTTAGAGAAATTTATCATTATAGTTGGAAAGCATGTTCCTTTTTACAATGGATATGCTGCTCGAAACCCAATTATATTATTTAATAACTTCGTACAAATTTTTATGTTCAGCCAAAAAACATTTAATAATACATTTTATGCAAAATTATGCTATTTACTGATATTCATTACTACCATTATTTGGATCTTTGATTTAGAGTGATTAATACCATATATCTAGTCACTTGCTTCAAGTAAAACAACCGTTTATAGCTGCATGGTCTTGATTCACGGACACTACACCTTAGGTGTACAGTTGAATCGATTATGTCGACGTATCTCCAACCGAAACATCCGTTCGCATTGATCGCGACATAGAGATCCCCAGGTTTATTTTAATTGGTATATTGTAGTTAGCAAAACTATAATATTTCTTATTACACCTAAGGATTGATTATTATACCTTTCCTTGAGGTACTTACATTGCCAAGGTAACTCGTAGATGAGGCGGGATTAGGAATTGAGTGCGATAGACAATATTTCTATTGGTAAATATTTATTTATGGATTAAGATATAGATTACTCGCACTATATTACGTCTTACAATTTTTTTTTTTATAGAATTAGTATAGATTAGTTTCTATTAGGAGTAGTTTTATTTCTAAATTTTAAGTATGATAAGAACCAAAATTCCTTTATTTATAAGGTATACTCAAGAACAAAGCTTATCAATATAAGTAGCTGTATAAACTAGGTTATTTAACCTATATAGACACTAATGTCACTTGCACTAAACTAAAACTAATGTTATGTTGCTAGATATAACTATATATAATTAGACAGTGTTTAATTTATATGAAACTCTCTCTAATTCTATAAAAGTGGTGAATCATCGTCATAATAATTTGAATTAGCTATAAAGGATCTTAAACCTAATTCGGTCTTTTATTTCTGAAGTAATAGTTATTTATTTACATATATTTTTTTTATTGTTTTCTATTGGATAGTAATCAGCAATATCTAAATGACTAAAGTGGTTTTTTATAATATAAAATAATGTATATGAATGAAATGAGGTAATAACATTTTAGTATAAAAGCTACTTACCGCGTGACACAATTGTTGTGAAATATTCATTTTTCTGCTCTAATGACTTCTAGGTTGTTCTAATATTTTGATTTATTGGATTTGTAAATTTTTGCTATATCTTAAATGAATTTACAAATATATGTTTACTTTAACGCAACTATTTTGACACTATGCGTGTGTTAGTTATTTGAGGTGCGCATACTACTGGTCCACGTCCACATTCTTCTAAAATGTCTTCTCTGATCGATTTCGATTTTTGTTACTTTGCTGTGTCAAATAATGTAGTTTTGATTGACTAATTGCTTGCTTGATTGTTTGTTTGATTGATTGAGTAATTGAGTACGCATATTTTAAGGAACTCACACATTATGTAGTACAAGTCATGCTGGATTTTTAAACATTCTAATGATGGCTGAGGTACGTCTTGCGCTTTAGGAAACCACTCCGTATGGGTGATGAATGTCCTTCATTGCTGTTAAGGTGTATTGTGTAGATTGGATTGGAATAGGATGTAGTTTTGCATAAGCAGGAAGAATAGCATTTAAGGATATGAATTCTGTTTTATTCTTAAGTTAATTTTGATTTCGTCAAAACTTACAAAAGTTTCATATGCAGTTTCGACAATAAACTCAAAATTTACTATATAACCATCTAACCAACCACATATAAAATTCACTAAACACCAATTTTTCATTTTACCAATATCATTTCATAAATATCAATTTATAACTACTTAAATTATGCATTGCGTTTACAACACTTAAGCTTCAGTTTGCTCATGCATCCTAAGTATGAAAACACAATCATTCAGGATAACGTGGAATTTCACATAATATTTGGTGGCGGTGACAGTGACAGTGGCAGTGGCATTGTTTGTGATTTTGGTTTGGTTTGGTTTGGTTTGGTTGTGGGTGATAGGTGATAGGTGGAAAGTGGTGAAAGTAAAGATGCAGTATTCGGGTAATAAGCACGTGTTTCATTATATACAGTTAATCAAAGTAAAACATGTTAAAAGAAAAGAAAATCACAAGAAAATATATATTGTAAATTTAAATTTAAAGCTTTTGTTATTGTTAAAAGCTTAATTTTTAAAAATAATTGTTAATAACTTAAAACATTTTAATATTATATATGTTAGTAATTAAACAAAGTAACATAAAACTATTGTTTATAGATAAACATTGCTCTACATTCTTAATTAAAGAACCATTTAACTCAAAAATAAATAACCTGCCAAGCTATTAATTCAAACAGATTAATAGATCATTTCAATACTCTTATGAGTACATTTAAAAAAAACCTTTTTTTCGTACTTTATGCTACATATTTAATATTCTTGTCTATTATGACTTTTTTAGAATATTAAAAGCAAGTATTTAAAATATTTTAATATAAACTATTATTATAATTATATAGTCCGGTAATCCGGCATTATATTATTGAAATGAAATTCCTTGGCAAGATACGAGCAACGATTATTTTTTATTTTTAAAGTAAATTTTAAAATCATGATTCTAAAAATTCAGGCTAATTCACGTTTAACACATATCTATAGTGCTATCTAATTATAAAACTTTATGCAAACGTACCTTCTACGCCTTGGGTTTGAAGTCTGGCCTGGTAAATTGAAACATCCTCGAGGAATAACCATACGTGCGTTGCCTTTGGCGGGACGTGAAAAACCAACTTGTTGTAATTCAGCTAAATGCGCAGCGTAGCCATCACTCAGTACTGTTGCACTTGGTTGTAATTTTTTAGTAACCTACAAATTATAGATTTATAAATTAAATTGTAGCTACAGTCATTTGATTAAAATATACAATATATACCTTTCCTACTATGAATATTTGATCTGATCTTAATCCAACGTTTGTATAGACATTAATGTCTTTACTGCTGCCATAAGCCGCTACAATGGATATTCCATGATTTTGCACTAAACTATTTAAGTATGCAGCTTTGTGGCCCAATGGATCAGTTAATAGTCCATCAGCAAATGAGATCAACCCATGTGGGAAATTATGTTGGCTCAGCCAGGATACAACTCGCTGCTGTTGCATATCAGGGCGTCCAGTTATGTATATTAATAAATATCCCAACTCCTGCCAATGTCGGCAGACATCAACAGCTCCTGCACGAACTTTAGGATCCCGTCCTGTTACTGACATTGATGCTGTAAATGATCCGTCTATACTAAAAACAACACATTCCGTGAATGGTGGTACTACTGCTAAATAACAGTCGACTCCAGTATGGTCACCACGAACTACCATCTTAACTGGGTATATGCCATAACCAAGTGAAAGCTGATCCGGAATACTATACGAAATTCGACCATTTTTATCAGTTACCTCAGTTGTTAAAAACGTCCATTCACCCACTGGTGGATCTTTCATTATGTGTATATCAACCTTCTCACCATGTAACGTTATCATATCTAGTGGACCATACATAAAACGTGCATTCAGACGTTGTTCACGACCTTCTTGTACAATTACGTCATTTGCACGGTGATTGGCTGCGACATTCTTAAGTTTAACTGATGTTCGTTTCTTAATCCATTTTTCACGTGGTTGTCCGGGATGAAATGAAACTGCATCCTTATCAGGTGAACCTACAAAAAGATTGCCCTCGAATTTTCCAATCTAAATACAAAATTACTACCATTAGTAAAATAACAACACACGCATTATACAATAGCTAACCTGGCGCAAAATAAATGCTATAACATCTGCGCTTTCCCAATAACTGGCATGGAATAAATGCGGCAGGGCATGTGCAGGAAAATTACTTAATCCTTCTGGACAATATAGTGCATAATCGAGCCGCTTCGTACCCCACCATTTCGTTTGAACTATGAAGACATAGTAAATTAATCTTTTCTTTTTAGCAATAAATGGTGAAATAATTCCTTAAGTTCCAGTCATCATAAATGAAATTAAATCTAAGATCTTATAAGCATTCTAGCAACTTACGTGAATGGATTGTACTTAGCGATACATTCTCAATTAAACCTGAAATAGTGCTTTGCATAGAAGCATCTGATAAACGTCTACCTCCCAATAAGTTATTGCTCTCACTAAAATGTTGAGGATGAGATTGTATCACTTCCACTGAAATTGTTAAACAAATTTAAAAAATATTTAAAAAAATATCCTAACTGCTAAAGCAGACAAGACTTACATAGATGTAGTGGCTGCCCATTACCTAGCGGATACTTGGCATAGCGTGGAACATTAACTGGCGCAAGCATAGAAAATCTTGCACTTAACAAACTTTCTAGGCGAGAAGCAGTTGGGTCGGTAGGATGAAACATATTGTACACCTGGTTGCAATTCGGTCGAGCAAGTGCTTTGAAACAAAAAAAGTTTCATATTTTCTATTTGTGTGTAGTTTAAAAAGTTACCTGCTTTGGGGTCATGTAGTTTTCTAGCTGCTAAAACAATAGACAATGGCGAACCAAACATAAAGAATTCAGTAACTTCAAAGTCTAATTTCGTAGATCTGGAGTCACTAGAAGAGGAAGACCTTCGTCTTCTAGGCGTTGGTGGTGCGACTAGTAAACGCTTCGCATCAAGATCCGAGTCATTAAAACGCTCTTCATCATCAGTGCGAGATGAACGACTTCCTTCAGCATTTCCACCGTTTGAACGACACAACGCTTCATAGGCTAATAGGGAGCCCATAGAGTCCCCTAACATTACAACTTGTCCAGAAAATCCATGTCCATCTTCTGACTTCAAAAATTCATGATAGACAATGTTAGCAGCAGCAACAGTTTTGTTAACTGTTTCTTGAAATTCAGGTGAAGTGACGGAAAGTAGTGGTATTGCACCTATTGGTATATCAGCTACATTTGGTACGTCAGCAACAGATGGCGAAGTATCAAACGAATAGGGACTCAAACTTGACAATATACCTAGAGCGTCAGTGCATATAGATGGACATGGAACCAGTTTAATAGTGACGTGAGCAAGTAAGCTTGGATAATGTTGACGCATAACTGCTTCAAATGCACCTCGAAATGTTGTAACATCTGATTTCTTCGCTGTCAATTCACTCGTAGCGTCTGAAATAAAAATCCATTAGACACATTTTAGGGATTATGACTGATTTTAGGATTTATAATATTTATTAGCTTTACCGAGTACACAACCTGCGTGTACTACTAATATCAGTATTGTGGTGGGACAAGAAGGTGTGCTTGGAGAACCGGGTGGAGAGTCATGACTACGATCTACACTAGCCGATGAGCGCAATTGGCGCTTATTGCCACGTTCCGATGCGACACGTATAAGAAATTCCTGATTAAATATGCTATCATCTTGTCTATCTTTGTTATTAATACCCCCATGTGGAGGTGGACTGTCATCTCCTTCTCCTAGTAACTCAAGTGAACTCCATTTAGCGAGTGAATTCGTTTCGTTAGTATCTGAATGTTATAACGAAGTACATATATAAAAGATAAGGAATTAATAAAATATTGTCTGAACTTCACCTAAGCAGTCAAAGAATTCTTCATCAGAGTTTGATTTTGAGTCGACTTCTAATCGTTCCATTCGCCAATTTGCAACCTATGGATATATAAGAAATTTAATCAAAAATAAAAAAATGAAAAGAACACAAAATACGTGCATAAGAGTAGAAACCAGATTTCAATTTTGAAACTCAAAACTTACGTTTTTGTGTGGAACAGATTTTGCATGCGGCTTTGTTAATTAAATTATTTAGTACAGTTTTAATTGGTGACATGAATACATTAATAATTGAAAAAAGAAAGCAAAAAATTAAAGGAATTGTTTACACTTAATTCCAAAGTTGTTAGTAGAAAAAAACTAAAAATTATATAAAAACAAAAAAAAAAAAAAAATCAAATAACTCTTGGATTTACCTGTAAATCGAAACTATGCGCCGATCCAACTGGTGAATGTAGAGCACCTTTAGAACCGAATTTTGATTTAGACATTTGTATACTTTGGGATCGTGACCTAGCCATGGCGGTGTCCACGTCATTTTCATCCTCCTCTTCAGAACTAGCTTCAGCACTTGGTGGTTCTTGTGTTAAAATAGGTGGTGGTGCACCTACTGACTTTTTTCGTTCTTTAATATCTTCATCTTTCTTAATCTCATGGTCTGTACCAGAAAAAAATCAGAATTTGATATAAATGTAGTTTTATATATATTTAAAATATTATTACCAATTTCACTATTATCATCCTCAGTTCCACCCATTTTTTTAGCCAATGCAAGCTGGGTTTGACGTTCAATTTCACGTATGTCTTCAATGGTAAGGCCATGCCATTCATCTTGCCAAGCCCATGCCTGACGATGAGCACGCAACATAGTTTTACGTAGGGCAACATCATGTATGAACTTCTCCAGTTTTGTTTGCATTCCCCAGTATCGGAATTCTACACGGCATATTTTGTAAGCACACATAAGCGACATATTTCGGTTTGTGGGCTGTGTCCTACCCTTAACTTCCTTCCAATATTCATCCAACCAATCTTCATTAAGTGGACCGCGACTAGTTTTTTTTGATAAAAATAATTTTGGATCTTCTTCTTTAATATAATCACCGCCATATAATTGATCCTTGACTATATCGATGACATCTTTAACAATAATTTCATATTTAATGCTAAATATATTCATAATTTAATAAAAAGGAACAAACACTCATACCTACGACACGATTTCGTAAATCACTTCCACTTAATTTAAAAACATTTTCTTGGTAACCATTATCTGGATAATAATAGGTTTCAATATCTAATGAGAATTTTTCAACAAATGGGCAAGTATAGCGCGTTCTTGTGTAGGGATATGCATTCCATGCTTCCTCCTCCACAGTCAAAGCACTTTTTGGTAATAAACCTTTTTGGTAATAAGAAATGATAGGAAAGAGGAATTATTTATACTTAGTTGTAAAATGGTATCAATTTACTTTTTATCCATCCTGGTAAATGACTACCAACATGATAAATCTTTCTAGTGTATTGTCCATTACCACCTGGACCATCTTTATATGGCTCATTGATGATAATTTCAACTCCACTGCCTTCTCCGTGACTTTCCTCACGACTTTTTTTCTATGAAATTATTTTTGAGTTAAACGAAAATGTAATTATGTACTCGTATCCATATTATTTAGTTAACTTACTGCAATCATATAGAGTTGCGCGATGCGGTATTCCTCTACCGTTAGCGGCAATGGTATTCTATACTCCTTTATCAACATGCCGACTTCGAATTATAATCAACTCAATCAAGTCATAAGCAAAAGCTGTTCTTAATTTTGATTTTACTATCTAAAGTAAAGTTATTTCACCAATGTCTACACATGATGCTATTAGATACTTGCCTGCAATAACACAGAACATATATTACATTCTATTTTCATTAAGGACAGTAAAAAAAATATTTAATTGGACTAAATATTGGGCTAAGTTTGAACATTTTGAAAATTGATTTAATGTATCTTGAAGTCAAATTGTTTCTCAACATTATTAACTAAATACTATAACATAAGCTGGTTCCAAGAACGACAGGTTTACGTCCCGGAGCCACTTGTTTCCAACAATAACCTATTGAAGTCCTAAAGGGACTTCACAAGTAGGTCCCAGCGGTTTATAACAACAAAAACAAGACATAAGCATTTCATTTATCCTAAGTTTTACTATTGCTTTAGAAGAAACAAATTCATATGTAATATACTAGACTTGTCCTAATGGTAAGCAGTTTTAGGTCTTGTTTTAACTCGGATAATCTATTACACGAAATAAATGGAGGAAGAATTTATGATATATCCGACAGCAAAAAGAATATTTATTGACTTATTTCAAATCGGTATATGTTCTATATATATGCATGAATAGATATATATATTATAAAAAATTACATTGAAAGGTTTATTAGACTATCTTTTAGTCAAAGTGCAGACAAATTTTCAATTTAAAGTTGTTTAAAAAGAAAGAACACTTTGCATTTAAATAAATTCGCACAAGCTTCACATTTGAGGAAAGAGTACAAAATAAAATAAATAGAATTACAGTCTTCACATGGTTTTTCCAAGCATATACAATTACAATAAAGAAATTAAAGCCAATCTACCAGAATTGAAAAGAAAAATGAACATTTAATTTAAAATCATTTAATAAGCATGAGAATTGCCGTGACGGCTTTAAAACGAAAAAATGTGTATATGTTCTGTGAGTTTAAATAAATCATTTATTGGATAAAAACTAATTTAGCTAATTTTGAAGGAAACGTTACTCATACGTCGTGCGGGACAATTTGCATGTGCAATGATTATTATTGAGCTTTATGAAATAGAACTGAGCTGCTTCTAATGGCTCATTTCAGTTACTTACTATTTAATTATATGTCTTGTTGCTTTAATTTAATTAATTTTATTCTTAGTATCGATCATTATAGTTTTGTTGCGACATATACCAACTAAAATTTATAACTTAACGAATGAAACTTTACAAAGGCACTAAACGACCGATACAATGCAACTAGAAACCACTAAATACCAACAATATGACAGCAATTGAGGTTCCATGGTGACGCGGTAAGGTGTGGTTAATGGCCCCAACCAAACCAACCAACCGTTAGTGGCAGCAACGTGGCTTATGACATATTTGCAATTGTGGCTGTGATAATGACAACGGATGAACAATTTCGATTAATTTATGAATTGATATAGCTGTCGAGCAGGGGAGCAGTGGAGCAGGGCAAAGATCAACTTGGCTGCCACAATTACAGACAAATTGAATGACAATTGTGCGCTTCTTTATTACGTGCTCGATGTATGAAACTTCGATTGTTGCCTGCCTGTTCAGGGCTGAGAACGTGTAATTTGATTAGAAATGGCTTTATTGACTTCATTTAAACAAACTTTATCCTTAAGAAACACATTTATGTATTCTAACCTACTTTCTGTTTTATTATATTTGGGTAAGAGGTGCGAATGCATAAATAAATAGCAGAGCGCTTGTTTGTAGCTGCGTTTGCGTTTGTATTAACTTAACAAATGTATGTCATCAAGTATTTAAAAATAACATATTTCATACTTTGTGCACCTCAACAAAGTAAAAGAAAACAATAGCAAAAAATCAATAATTAATGAGGTCTCGTTAGAACACTCAAAATATATGCTGGTATTCTTTACAGTGTATGTCAAGGAATCTCCATGCATAATTGTATGAGTTTGACTTTTATCGATTCTTTCGAACAACACCATACCACCAAAATTATGATATAATAATGGCCACATCTATGGACGATAAGTGACGAAGAATTTATTAAAACATATTATTCTGTGCAGCAAGGAGAAAGTTTGGGTAATTCTCTGAAAATTGCTCGAAAACGCAAATAATTTTTAAAATTATTAAATGTATTGAAAGGATTACTAGAATGTTGCTATCCTTCATATTGAAATTCTTATGTAGGAATAATAAAAAACGAATATCAGTTTTGTTCAAAATTACTTATAGAACAAATAGGTAATAGCTGCAAGCAATAAGGCAAGTCACAGTATGTTTAAATAGGAATTGTTGTCAATAAAAAACATAATTGGCATAAATGGCAGTGATGAAATATTTACACTAACAAGTGCAAAATCATTCGAAAAATATTTAGTTTCAAAAAAGTAAGAAAACTTTCATTTAGTAACAACGATGAATTCCTTAGGCTATTTAATGTCGAAGATAGGTGGGTTTTGCTAGATCACATTGATTACGTTATAAGAATGGACGACAAGCACCACTCTTGGCTTACTACGACCTAAATGTATGACCTGGAGCTGACTTATGAAAGTTAGGTGTCCGAGGATAGTGCGCAATACTGCAGTGCCAAAAAGAAATATTTAAAAGTTAAATTAGTTAAGGTAAAGATTAACCAGATATGTTACTATATCATTATGTAATATATTATAGAACAAAATTATAAAAATACATATTTTTGCAGGAAACTTGGGAGATAATGAATTGAAATATTTGATGTTTAATATAATAGTTTTTATATCAGAAAATATTCCTATGTTTAATTACTATAGTTTCGTGCAATTATTTAACTATTACTATAGTTTTTGCAATTAATTTTCACTTAATCCAAACAATGCAAAACAGCTTTACTTTTTGTAAGGCATATTTTAATTTTTCGGTACTGGTTTTGATAATCGTAATGTGTTTTTAAGATAAACACATAAAGGCACCAATCAATCTTTGTGAAGGTTGTCGTTGATTAATTTTATTTTTTTTTCTATTTTAAATTTAATTTAAGACTGATAAATAAACAATTACAAAAAATGTTTGCGATAAACTAGACGTAGACTGCTATTTATCTATACACTAGTACATGACCAAATGGGTACAAAGTTTCGAGAATAGTTTAATCACTATTTTTTTTTTATTTCATAAATAAGATAATTTCATTTCAAGTAACTTGACTCACTGTATATTTACGTCTATTTAAAAACGAATAATTACTGAATGATTTTTCATAATGCAATTAACTCTTGGCACTCATTAAACGAGATTAAAGGTGGAAGCAAACCTGTTTTCAATGCTTGTTGGTTTTTGTAGAGGTTCGCATGTATCTCAGATACAACATTTTTTTTTGCCATTTTTAATGGTTGCTTTTGCATTTGTTTACAAACAAAAATCCGCAGCACAACAAAATCAATCTTTGTACTGCTGAAGGGATTTCTGTGCCTTGCCAAAAAGTTAAGACAAAAAGATTTGTTTAATACTTTTGGATTACCGCAGGGATCTGGGAATGCAAACAAATACAAGTGTTGTCTGATGTTTCAGCTTTTAGGTTCAGAAAAAATTACAAAAACGAAATTTACGCATTTATTAGACCCTAGACAGTTCGGACTTAGCACAAGGTTAAATTAGCATTTGTAAAACATTTAAAATTATAGAAGACATATAACATATATGCATATATATATGTGTATAAATATATATATGTATATATATTTTAAATATCTGACTTACATTATTTTATAGGTATTAGATTTTTAATCAGCCAACAATTTTTTCAAACTTTATATTCGTGTAACACTTCACTTCATGAAAGTAATTTCTATATGTCTGTATACATTTATGTAATGTTTTTTATTTAAATATTTTGTATCGTCTAACTTTTTAGATTTCAGTTTAAAACTTTTAATGCGTTTTACTTGGTGTATCTACAAAATCAACGAAAATAAGCAAATACTGAAATTTGCAACATCCGCAACGCTTCATATTTTCACATTTTACATTTTCACTTCTTAACGAGATTAGGAAAACTGTTCTGTGGCGAAGGAAATTAACTGAGGTGGACCGAAGACATACAAATCGTCTTTTTCCTTTGTAACTCAAGAGCTTTTTATACTGTAAAACAGAGTTGCCACTTCTCTATTTATAGACTTTTTTACATTACTGTTATTTTCATTAAGCACAGTAGTCTAATCAATGCAAATTAAGAGAATACAATTAAACATCTCAAAAAAAATATCTCTAAAATATTAACTACATGGTGTATTGACTAATTAGGCATTTGAAGCATCATTATCAGATATATATCAGTCACAAGTCATACATCAACAATTTTATAATTATTGTTTAAACTTAAATAAGCAACTATATACACATTAGATCTATTCTGGTTTAAGTGCATCCTAACCTTACTAATAATAATAGTAAAAATAACAATAAAAAAAAAAAAACTAACTGATTTTATATAAATTGTAAATTGTATTAATATCGAAAAGTGTTGGCAATCCTACATTCTACATATGTTAGAAGGGGATGATTTTATACAAATAACTACCTTGTGCTCACAATTCACTTGCGCTCATTATTTTATCTCTCTCTTTCATTTCTCAATGCCCCCTTATAGCTTTGTTTATAAAATATTGGTATAACTGACGTCATTAATTGTGTGTTTACTACGTAAAAATACTATGAATACATGACGTCACATAATCATTTTACCCTTCATTTCGAGAGGCCAAAAATTTCTCTTTTCTCTTTCCTCTTTCCTTCCGTTATTAATAAATAAAATCCACAAGTGAAAATGTTTTATGTTTTATGTTTTGTCGATTTCATATTGAAGAGAAAATTAATAACAGCATCAGCAAACGATTTTACTTTCATTTATGACGTCACAGTTCAAATGAAAAATTTTATTTAAATTCATGACGTCACAGTTTTTGACAAAAGTGATTGCGTGTTAAATAATAAAAAGTGAAATTTTTATATGAATCGAGACTAAATAAAAACTAAAAATAATATTAATGTTGACAGATTTGTAAAAATATACTAAAAACGAAATCTATTTATACATAATTATCTATATATATTTATATTTACATATATGTATGTACGCGTATGTAAATATGTTTTGATACGAAATTATTAAAATTGGAAAGTATTCGACCAAAAAAGGAAATTAATGATCAACTGTCATTAAATCTACTGTTAGATGAAAATTTTATATGACATTTTATGAGTTAAATTTTTAAAAATATTCTAATTTTTATGATGGAGATTAAAGGCAATAAAACGAAAATTCTATAAAGTATAATCGTTTACTTAGCACTGTAACGACAGCTATAATTGTAAAAAGTATATAAAATTTTCGAATTGCTCTTAATTAAAGAAAAAAAGTTTATTGTGAAAGTAGTTAAGTCATATTGTATAATAAAAATATCACACTGTATATGACAATTTACTTAAGCATGTATTCACTGCTCAACTTAGCTCATTATAATAACAATAATAACAATATTAACAAACTAAGTGACAGTTAATAGCACCAAAAAAGTGAATAAAATAGAAATGATTAGGAAATATAAAATAAAGAGTACTAACTTGATTAAAAATGCGGAATAAAAATGACAAAATAAAATACTATAGTAAATCTCTGTATAAACATTTTAAATACTAATAGTTTTTAATTATAAACCTATAATAAACTTAAAGAATAAAATTCAAAATAATTAATAAAAATGTTTTAATACTAAAAAGTGAAAAGTTTAGGAGTTAGGTAGATATAATTTTGCTTTATTTTAAGCAAAGAGAATATTAAAGGAAATTCAATATTTTACCTTATGTGTTTTTAAAGACACCCTGTATACTTTTTGTCGAAATATTAAATATTTTAGTCCCAGAATAGTGCGGTCGTATGTGCATTAAACGTACTTGCTCCTCCGCATTTCAGCGCTACAATAACTTTAATGGCTAACACAAAATAAAAATTTTATAAATACGCGAACGCAAATTGCTGAAGTGAAAAAATTTAATAAATAAAATAATAAAAAAAAATTTCTCGATAAATTTGCAATTCAATAAAATTTTCTTGCTTATACTAAAAAAAAAAAATATTTCCATTTGTTTATACTACGCTGTGCCATTAATTCGAGCAATTTGTATCTGGGTCCGCTTGATGCGAGTAATGTGTCGATTTATGTGGGTCTGACAAGTGTTGCTGTTTTTTGTTACGTTTTGTTTATTTGAATTAATAAGCAAAATTGTTTGCAAGCAGACAATCCATGAAATGAAATCGACTGTGAAAGTCCTGCTCGCAGCAGAGATAGCAACAGCATCACCCAGGAACCAAAACAATAACAAGCATTCACTTCAGTAGGTTAAGACAACTTGAAACACATTAGGCCACGAAGAAAAACACAGACGAACAAAAACAGAGAAATCCAGTGAACTTTGGCATTTGCATTGCGCATGTCCCGCTGTTCGCTATCCTGGGAGCAGCGATTACAAGTGGCAGCACCTCTATCAGTAACATAAGGATAAGAAACGAAAAATAAGACTTTGTTTGTAAATAAGAAAAATCAGCTTAAGCAGAGGATTTCAATAATCTGATGAGGAATGGTTTAAATTTGTGTGCTTAACCTTACTTAACACGACTTCGAGGGATGCTGTGAGCTGTGTTTGTTTGCATTGCAAATAAGTCCAATGCCAGAAGCTCTGCCGCCAATATGAAAGTAGGAACTCAACTGGAATTAACATCTACGATAATTATTTAATGAGTTGTAAGAATTAAATGTATCTATTAAATTCAAGTTCTTAAATTACCTAATTACATAAGTAGCATTTTCTTATGTAAATATCTTTTTCAATAGTTCTGTCATTTTAAATTTGCTAGTATTTACAAAAGGTGTATGGAATTTTTCATTTCAAGGAAATGGCAAAATAATTACTTTCTGTATAAAATATTTATTAAAAGATACATCTCAAGTATGTAAATTGCATACACAAGATACTAAATATTAGTTTTAATTTTTTGGAATCACCGTTACGTACCGTATTAGAAAAAAACTAGACCGAAATATTATAAACAAAATACCTTCAGATATTTGAAAGGTTCCCACAATAAGCAGGCATGGAGAAATACTATATTGAGTATAGCTATGCCATATAGCTAGTTCTGATATTATTTTCCTGTTACTAAATATAAAAATATTTCTGCAAAATATTACATTGTGACAAAACTATTTGAAAGTGATATAGAGGCAGTGAGTGTAGTCGACAAAATAGCTCTAGGCTGGCTTCTTCAGATAAAATTCTCCCTTCAGACTCTTCAGATAAGACAAAGGGAAAAAAAGAAAGTGACATTATTAAAGGCTTATTTACATACGATTAAAATAATTGTGTACGTTCTGTAAGGTTATTATCGATCAACTGATGCGAAAACAGAGCACTCCTCAGATCTATTATCATCATTACCAAGCTAAAAGTATATAATCGACAAAAGTGAGAAGTGTGCATTACGATTAGTTTTTCAATTTTTTATAATTTATGGCCTTAATCCTGCTATCGTAATCTCAATCGAAATGAATCAGCATAACTGATCTGCGTATTCTACTCACGTCTGGATTCCGCTTTATATGGCCCTTTCGGCATACTTGAATGGCTGACGAGTTGTGCAGTGTTGTAAACAATGGCATTTCTATTATTTATGCGGACTAAACGATAAAACCAGCAATTAACATTAACAACGACCGATAAAAAGATAAGACAAACGCCTTGTTTAGCTTTATCACTCAACTGAGCAACTGATTAAATGATTATTCTTTGACTGCACGCAAATAACATGACTACAATTTCAATTTCAGGCTATGTTCGACAGCAAATTCAGATATTCAGATAATCGCCGTGGTTTGTTACTCGAACGAGTGCATACACAATTGTTAATGTTAGCTTCACTCTTGTTTTCATATGAAGATCATGGTTACGTGCTAAATGACCTTGTTCTAAACGATAAACACTAAAAACACTAAAATATTTTATTTTTTACTTCAAAAAAAAAAAAATGTAAATAAAAATCATAAACAACAAAAAAGAAACAAAAATGTATGTCTTTGCAAAGGTTTGAAAAAGAGATCCAAGGGAAAAGATTTTGCAACATAAAACTTATAGAGTAACCAGATAATTTTAATAATGCTAGCATATGAAGTTAAGAAGTATTTTATTATGCATTTGTTCGGATTTTTTTGTTTTTGCCTCTTTAACTCTTTAACTTATAGAAAATGTTTATTAAGTAAATTATACGGTACCGATTTCTATTTAAACGTTTAAGAAACAAATTTTGAACAATTTTAAACATATTTTTGAATGCAAACACTTGGAGTTGGTAACCTTAGCGTAGACAGAGAAAAGTGCGAATTTATGCTCAAATCATGTTGCTGTCCCAAGAGAATGTGGAGCGCGCATATTAAGAAAACTTGTATTGGGCAAAGTGTTGGAGCTGCGTCTACTGCAGCAGCAGCTGCTGTGAAAAATGTCTGGGCAAATTTTTCTGTACAATATTGAAAAAAGTTTGAATAAAATCTATTTAAACTTACATATAATATGAAAGAGGAAGTAAACAATTTTGTGCAGAATACACAATCAAAAATAAATTTATTCACTCATATAAGATGGTAAATTAGAAATTTAGCCACAAAACGAAAATTATGATTTCGTAATTGGCAATCAAGTTGTAATTCTTTTCACATTTTTTGTAACTCAAGGCAATTTGTTTATTCACACAATTCACTTTTCATGTTCATATTTATTCAATTGCATTAAATAATGCACTACAACTTTTCACGCAACACCGATTATTGTAAACAAAAAAACTATTTTTTAGACATATGTCAAAAATTGTTGATCAAAACGGCGCACCAACTTATCAAACTACCAAATCCGACAACAACTCAAGAACAACTAATTTTGCTTTTCCTCCAATGCTGGCTTTACTCAGTGAGAAGTCCACATTTGAGTGAAATTTCGTTGTGGAGCTTCTCGTATTGAGTTGGTTGCGAATTTACATTAGGAGAGCTCATTTAAGAGAATTTAATAATACACTACGATAGACTATGCTGTTATTATATTAACAAAGCAATTCATTGGTTAGGTTTATTATGTCTAGAGTAACCTTTACCAATAATGTAATATATATTAATATATATTTATATATATATATTAATATATATTATAATATATATTTTTTAGAAACATCTGCGTTCAAATCCTAGCACGCCATATAGTATATAATAATGCTGTTATTATATTAACAAAGCAATTCATTGGTTAGGTTTATTATGTCTAGAGTAACCTTTCCCATTAATATAATATCTATTTTTTAGAAACATTAGTGTCAAAATTTTGACACACCTAATAGTATATAATATTGCGAATAAACACTTGTTACATAAAACTATTATTTGGGCTGATTTCACAGTCGTGAAATCAGAGTTTTTGCTACGTAAGTTACGACTGTGAAATCAGACCTAAGTACAATACATATTTCAATACAGAGGAATGCAAGTACTCCAGTCTGGTTCACAAGGTAATGACGATAACAGTTCAACTTTGTACCGGTGACCGTTCTGTTGACTATTATAAAATATGCTTCATTATCCTAGGTATGCTTCAGAAAAGAGTTTCTTAATCGCCGGTCCATAAAATACTGTAAAGTTATGGACTGAAGCACAATAAATTTCGCCATCAACGATATTACTTTTCGAGAAGTAAGTGAATATTTTATCGGTTCTTGTAAAACACATTGAATATTTTTCTCGTCGACTATATATGCTTTGGGTTGAGTAACACTACTTTAGTGAGGCTGAAAAATTAGTTTCCACTACATAAATTTTATAAGATTATCGGGAATACTGAACAACTTCAACTACCAAACATACTGACGTCTGCATATTACTGTTACACAGTGATATTTTTGTCGTTCGAGTATATTTTCGTATACTCGCACATACATGATACGAATCCCAGATAAAAATTTAATAATACAAGTAGTCAAATATAGACTTTGAATAAATACCAATAAAACATTTAAAATGTAACATTTAATTGAAATATATAATAAAATTGTTTAAATGGAATTGTAATAACAACAAACAGCAAAGTGCGAATAACCATAACCTACAGAAAGTGTTAGAGAAAAGTTAGAAAATTCAACAAATTTATTAACCCAGAAACTAATATACAGTGCACTCTCGGTATAACAAAAGATATTATAACGAGACTTTTCTTTACTTCGAATACATTTTATGCTCAACATCTATTATGTTATTTTAAGAGAACATTTTTAGTATGTTTGTTATTTATGATGTATCTGCATCTTTTGAAATGTCCTTAACATAAAAATTTGTTCAGCATTATTTATTAAAACAGTTAGGTTAGGCTTAGAAAATGTATTTTTTTACAAATTGGGCTGACTAATATATATTTCAAACTTTCAATAAAATAGATTGACAAAAACTTCTATGTTTTTGTTAATGCTATGTTACTACACTAAAACATAAAATAAGTTATTTGAAAAGTGCCAGCTAACTGTACTAAACATATGATATAATAAATATTAAGAAAAAGTAAAATGAATAGAACATAATATATAATACAATGTAACCTAGGTATAACCCTAAAAATCAATTTAAAAATTCACAGTTTTTTTATTATAAATGATTTATTTTTATTTATTTATTTATTTTTTTTTTTCGTTATATATTGCGATGTTGTTGTAAGTACAGTTAATAATTTACAAGCAAACGTAAAATAGCTTAAACAATCCTAAACTAAATATATTTTTTTAAACGAGATTAAAATTCAATTTGTTGGACAATGTAGCACTTTTATTGAATAAAAAACAAAAACAAAAACAAAAACTTTTATAAAAATTGAAAAATTAATTGAAAACTAAATATGTACAAAATTTTAAATATTGATTAACAATAAATTTATTATTTTCAAGTCTAAATGCTTTAATTCTTAATAATTAAAAGTTATTCAAATCACAAAATCCTCAAACGCACACACACTCGCACTCAGGTTGTTTTTACATTAATAATATAATATTTATATATAATTAGTTATTTAATTAATTAATAAGTGGCATTAGTAATGAAGAAATAAATAATACAAAATAAATAGTTATAATATATTCACATTTAATACATTAATAATATTTAAACACTTTTCAATTGCTCGTATTTAGTTAAATTATTTCATTTTTAACTTGCATAGAGTTTTTGTTAATTAGAAACATTAATTTATTATTTATAAACCGTTTAAACTTAATTAAAGATACAAATTTCGTGACTAGGCAAAATAACGTTAACATTAAAAATATTAAAATAAAAATTTCGTGTCGTTGTTAAAAAAGTAAAATAAAAAGAATTACACATTATCTTCAGCGTGGAGCACTTTTTAGAAAAGAGCACCTTGGCTTTCTTGGCTTTGTTGGCTTAGAGTTATAGAGTAGCTATAACGTTATCTTAATCTCAAAAGTATAGTTTTTCACACAATAGAAGCAATTGTATTTTACAATATTTAAATGAAATTCGTAAAATGCACCGTTCAACAGTGTTTGATTTAGAGATGTTCATCTCCGTGATACCCATTACGTAATGGTTGTCGCTCCATAGAGTGATCAGTGGGTCGATTACGATTAAAGAAGCCACACTAAATAGAAAAAATAAGTAGAATATCATAAAATGAAAAAATTGTGCTAGTACTTACCTTGTACAACAAAAATACTAATAATAATAAAATTAATGCTCCTGCACATGCGGCTAAGACGACCACCCATAGAGGAACAACATCAGGTACAGGCTCTGGTTCTGGCACAGCTTTATAAAATATTTCATGAGATTTTATTATATCATCTTCAGGTTTTCCAATGTATGGTAAACGAGTAACATATGATACCGCCATTGTGGATACATTTAGAGGTAGATTAGAAGCCAACTTTTCCATTGTTTTAGCCACCATTCTAGTTCGTATCGCTACCCAAACACCGTCATCTTTGCCAAGGTTCTTAGCTACGCAACGTAATGTTTCGCATTTAGCTGTTTTACATGGCGAATTTAGATCGAGTTGCGTTGGTTGCGTCTCTACGACTTCTCGACGGAAACGTTCATGGTGGGCAGACGAGGACGCAGTGGACCACTGTTGTTGATTGTTTTGTATACCGTTTTCATCTTCATAATAATCTCCATTTTCCAAGCCATAATAAGGTTTAGAACCACTGTTGAAAGTTGATGAAGATTGTTGATAAGTAGCCCCGTTTTGTGGTTTGTAACCTGGACTGACGTAAGACTGGTGGTAACCGTAGGCACCGGAATTGGTTTGTGCACCACGATTACGTAGTTCATTGTCCACATTGCCTCTATTAAGTGTACCTAAATCAAGTACTCCAGCCTGAAAGCCTTGACCTCCGACATTTAATTTATCTGCATTTAAGTTGCTACCACTAAAGTCATTGTAGGAGGCCGCATTACCAATTGTTTGTGGATTATATTGCTGCTGTACTCGGTGTATATTTGAAGATGATACACTTGGACTACCATAACTTCCGTAGGTTTGATGGTAAGTCGTTGTTGGACCAGGACGCTCAATATGAATATTCGCATTATGCGCGCCACTTTGTTGAATTTGTTGTTGTTGTTGTGAGTTAAGATTTTGATTTATTATTGAAGAGCTACCTCCAGCAATGTTATCACTGTTAGTACCAGTATTTTGATATTTTGCTGATTGCTGTTGGTCGTAGTAGGCTGCAGAACGATCAAGATTCTGTACGTACTCAGTGCTAGTTTCTACCGTATGTGGTCGCCCACTGCTATCATAGTATACAGTTGTATTTTTTGTTGAAACTATCACTTTTGGGCCACTACCATCGGATGTAGAATTCCACGACCATACCCTACTATCAACCACGCTGTCGTCGCCAGCGCCACCACCAATTATCACACCGGAACTAGCTGCTTCATTTGCCCGCTGTATGTGAACAAATGAGGCATCACCGGGAACATCCTGCTCATCTTCTTTTTCTAAACGTTTTTTTTCTTCTACGCTCAAAACATTGGTTGTACGTCCTATATTAACAGCCGTTGTTCCTCCCGCGGTAGATCCCGGTGATTTTTCAATATGACTTGTAGAGGCAGAGGTACGAGTACGGATGACAGCGCCGATTTGTTCTAAGTACGATTTGCGTACTAAATTTTGATCAAGTTTTAAATTGAGAGAGTTCACATACACATGTGGATCACACTGTATATTGCCATCAGTTTCTGGTTGATTTGTCATATACATTAGCAAATCTCCAGCCGCGGTTTCATGAGGATAGTGTATAAGAACTACAGCCTCTTCAACAGTTGATGGTCCATTGTTGCGAATATTATATAAATGAACGACTTGCGGACCAAGATCTTCTTCTTTCGTTGCATTTTTTATTGTTTTGAATTCAGATGCCTTATACAATTCAGAATCGGGCAATGATGTGCTGTAATGAAAACATTATCAATATTGTTGCTTAATTTTTTAAAAATTCATACTGTTTACCCTTCAATTGAAAGATTGGTCTCAACCCAAATTCCAATGCTCTTTCGTATTATATTATCAAAATGGGAGCCAGGCTTTTCCATGTTAGTTGAATTGGCTTCCATGAAGAAGTCATAACTCGGCGCCATACCCATTTTATGTGAGGGAAGCATAATTACTTTGAAGTTAGCCTTTATATATCAAAATATAAGGTAAATACAAGTATGGTGTTAAAATTTGTTAAGTTTACGTACCACCTTTTTACCTTGCAGCGGATTGCCAATGTCACATTTCAATGTGTAATTATTAACTTCAGAAGGTGCAGTACATGTGATTGGTGTATCAGCTTTGTCCCCAATTTGTGTTATTTTTTTAAAGTCTAGATCTTTGGGCATGACCATGTAAAAAGCGGCTTCGAAAGCATCTTCATTTTCATTAGTAATTAAAACATCAATGACCAAAGGCTCTCGCGACCCAAGAAGATATTTATCCACAGTTCTTTGAATAAGAGTTACATATTAATTAAATTATACCTATGATTGAATCTGATAAACTTACTTAATTTCTAAACGCAGGTCTGGTTCACAAATATTATCAGCACCACAATTCTTTTGAATGTGTATGGCATCACGCAATATAATTTCACGATTTTGATCAATAACAGGTTCAAGAACGTCTCGTTTCCTTCTTGCAACTGGTGCTAAACGACGAGCACTGCGTAGATTGTAGCGCATTTCTACTTCCAACGGAGTTAATTTGTCCTGAACATTGTCAATGAGATAGACAGTTTCATTTCGACAATAAGTTTTACCGTATGTCAAAGTGATTGATTGGTTTCTAATGTTTTTTCCTTCATCGAGCAGGAAAAACATGCGTGGATTTTTTAATTTTTTAGCATCCAAAACCCAAGACACATCGAAATCTAATGTTCTTGGTAGATTTTCCCCAGTAAAACTCCAACACGTTTTGATATCCGTACAGGAAACATGTTTTCCATCACGATAAGTTTGACAATTCTTTTCTTCCAAATTAATTAGTTTAGAGGGATTTACAAAGGTGGTTTCTGCGTTAACGCCAGCAACTGGTCTTGATTTAAATATATAAACTTGATCGGAAGCGTAAGCACCAACGGCTAAGTCTGGGTACGTGTTACCATCCATATCTAATCCACCAGCTAAAGCAAATCCAAAAGTGCGAGGATAGGGTGCACCTTCAACAATATCTTCAGACTTAATAACCTGTGATGGTTTTAATAGTGGACCATTTCTTGATCCATGGAAAATATATACCACACCGCGTCCTTCTGGCCCATCGTATGGTGCACCAACAGCGAAATCACCAAAGCTATCGCGGTTAATATCACCTAATGAACAGAGTGATAAACCAAAACGTCCCTTAGTATTATATCCATCTCTTATGTGTTCTGCAGTAAACCGATCAGCCTAGAATGGGAAATATTTTTATAGAGTCATACTTGAGTTGAAACTTTTTTAAGAACTCACATCATTTCTGCTCGTTTGCAGTAATATATAAACTCGCCCAACATCATATTTTCCCTCCACATTTCCAGGTTCGCTAAACATGGGTGCACCAATAATAAGATCATCCAGTCCATCACCGTCTACGTCGGAAGTGGCCAACGCATAACCAAAATATTCTCCTATTTGTCTGCCGGTAATATTTACAATGTTGGCCATATTCCAACTATTCACAACAATTTTTCCTAACAACCCAGCACCGCGTGGCATACCAACCGCGACATCGTCTATACGATCACCGTTAAAGTCGCCTGTTGTCATAGAATAACCTAGATATGAATCATCATCGTGTGAGCTACTTTCTGCAGTAGAGTAGACTTGATTTTCAGGGCGTGTTACATCGTAGGAATACGTTTGACCTAATAGTGTGAAAGACAATTAGTTCTGGGGAAGCTATTACTTGGATAACTTGAAGAATTCAAAGGCATATGTACAATTTGTGGTAAGTTTGGTTTGAAACAATTAGAATTTTAGTACGAAAAGATAACGAAAGCTGTTAGTAAAAGCTATAAGCAAATGCATGTAGGTGAAAAATTTTGAGGTTTTGTACGATGACTTCTATTAACTAATTAATTATAAACAAATAATTTTTATGGTAGAGTTCTCAATTAAACATGAGGATTTCTAAAAAGTTATTTTCTACTCAAATACTTACATGAATTATTAAAATATAATTTATTTGGTACAAAATAAAAGAAATATAATAAAAAGGAAATAAAATCTACGAAAATAATATACAAATAATGTTATTACCTTTTACATGTACCACCAATTACCAAACATAAGATTGTTAAACATAAGATTTTATGAGTACTTTTACAATAATGATTATTCAAATAGCAACACCACATATGTGATCCTATCGACTGACGTTTATAAAAACTTAATACCTTACTTACATACTCTTTAAGTTTTAAAACGTATAATTTATTCGAATTATTGTTCTGTAAGACCCTGTTATTGGAGGGGTTTTACAATACTAAATTAAAAAGAAAACACCCTCCATATAGATAATTTATATATTATAATTGTACGCGTAATGATAGATAACTGTTAAAGAACTGTTAAAGAAAAAACAAAGATATTTATTTTGATTAAATGGAATCTGCATCGACTACACTGGTGAACAACATTGTTTTAAAACAATTCATTATGTTTTTTTGCAGCAATCAAAGAATCAAGGGATGACTAATGACTTATATGCAGTATGGATGAATTTTCTATTGCATGTTTTTCATTGGTCGCAAAATATATAGACGCTATATGTAATAGTTCTTTTACCATATACACCAATTGGCAAATATACCATAACTCCTAAAATGGGACGGTGATAAATGATTTATTACTGCCGGCGAAGAACTGCAAAAGCTTCACAGATCATAGGGATTGGTGAAAGGTTCGATCAGCTCTCAAAAGCTGATCGAAATTGTGATAATTGCTGTGCCTTTTGAATTCAGAAGATTTCAATAAAAGATGAGCAGCCAAGTGGGTATTGCAAAACATCACTGTTCAGCAACCTCAATGCATGCTTAATCGAAATATGGCTTCAATTGAATAACTCTCTTAGTAAAATGGTACAATAGCACCACGTTCGCAACATTCGAAAGTCAGAATTGAGTATTATTTCAGGAAAAAAGTTAGGCAGTATCTATAACTCTATAACGTCATTAAGCGAAAAATTTCACGAGGACGCGTATATGAGATGGAATAATTCACAATCTGCAAGAACACCTAACTTTCCAGTTGGAGTATAAATTATACGGAAGTAGTAGTGATAACGGAATATAAACTTAATTGAAGTCAAGCCAAAATGCAAAATTTAAAAGGTCCGGACTTTTTTTAAGGCTGCAATTCCAATTCAATTATTATGTTATGTCATCCTCTAACATCTTCAAGATTGTATAATTTACAAGTATTTCACCAATGTAATCTACACTCTTTCAAAATATTCTTTTTGTATATACACTATCAACTCTCCTATATAGATATATAATCTAAAATAAGTAAATGTTATTATATATGTATGTATATGAAAGACCAATTACATTATTAAAAAAAAAAGCAAATTTCGATTTAGATCATATAAAGCCTTCAGTTGATCTGATTTTAGCTTCTTAAGCTGTGCTTATCGTACGTAATATCATATTTATCTTTCACTGTATTTTGTTTATGATAAATGGCGTTACGAATGATGTTACTTGTGTTTATGCAGAGATGCTAGTACGAGTACGCGGACTATGACACCAATTCTATTCATTTGTGCGATTGAGATGTAATTCAATTTTGCAAAGATGAAATATTTGTTAATAGATAAAACAATAAAATCCAAAGATAAATAGAACAAAACAGAACAAAATAAATGAATAATTAAACAAAATAAATATAAAATTTTGATAAATTTGGAAGCAATAAATATACAGCAAAACAATTGCACTCAAAATGGAAAAAGCATAAAAAGGACGTCATTAATTTTTAAATTGTCTGAAAGATAAATTATTTGGGTTTAAAAAAATCAACAATCAACAATCAAAATCAAAATCATTTTGAAGCAATTCATTAAGACTCATATCTTTCAGAGTAGTTCAAGGAAGTCCTTTTTTTAATAACTTTGCTTTACAAAATTCAATTAACATCATCGGATGGATCAGATTCATGGTGCGTGTACATCGTGAAAAAAATTTTTTTATAATTTTGAATACAATTTCAAAAGCGCAGCACACCAATATAAATATTATAAATAATAAATTATAATTTTGCATTAACTTTGTATACATAGTTTTATTATAATTTTGGTCCTTCAGAGAAAGTAATAATTCCGGTTTATTAGATTAAACTATTGCAATTAATGATTTTGTACTATTGTAGTTCTTTACCTCCGGTGCCGAAAGGCTGATAATAAGGCGGCTTGTATGGGAATGTTGCATCTGGCGATATGGAGTAGACTTGTCCTTTTGGGTTGTGTTTTAATATTGTTATATCATTTGTAATTTTTTATTAGTTGCATTCGTGGTAGACAACCAGTTCAATTATTTCGGTTATCAGGTTGGATGAACATAGGATTCGTGGTTTTTGTTTATTATATTATATTAATAAATATATATATATATATATATATATTTATATATTTATATATATATTTTGTTTTATTTTAAAGGATAGCGGTTACAACACAAATACATATTGCACACGTTTACAGTTAGATAAAAAATATTATATATAATTTTATTTTTTGTAGGAAAGTGCGGTATCGATCAGAAAACGAGAAAAAAAATAATAATATTTAATTATACTCATATGTAAATAAACAAAATTGAGTTAAATAAATAAAGATTAATTAATTAATTATAACTTAACCATAACTGAAAAATATTACTTAATGTGAATTAAACAAATTATTTATTGAATTTTGGATTTTTTTTAAACTTCTTTAATTCACGTTATTTGTAATATTTTAATATTCACTACTTTTTGATTTATTTCAAAAACACAAACATACATAGAATCACAATAGATTTCATTATTTTAAATGACATGCCAAAGTTTAGCACACAAATCAGAAATACACGCATATAGATACAATTTTATCTACAAACATAGTGATGTACTGATTTATACATAATTATTACCAATACTAGAGTCATTCCTTGCTTTCTAACCGTTATTACTTATTATATAGCACATGCTCCATAGTTGCAAGGAATAACTTTTTAATATATTAGTCCTTTAAATAGGAAACTATTACTAATTTTAAGCTAATTACACACACAGAAACATATAAAGATACATTAAGAACAACATTTATAAATCACAAAATTCGAAAATAAGGCAATTTAGCTTAAAGTATTTCAAAAACTATATCTAAAATTCGGAGCAGGGGGAAAAGAAATCTATTAACATACAAGTACATTCCATATTTAAAATGAAAAGGGAGCAAAATTTAATATAAATTTTAGGAAAGATACAGGATTGAAGGCAAAGTTCACATCTCAACATTCAACATTTAAAATTTTGAAATTTACATAAAAGTTAATACATCTTTTGGATATTGAATGGTTTTTACTATAAACTAACTACTACTTTGATCAACAACTACTTTCAATCGGTAATGAATATATAAAATTTCAAAACAAATACGTGTTAAATATAAATCATAGTACAAAAATCAAGTAAATCAATTTTCAAGAAACGTACCTTGCCAATACCAGCTTCCAGGTGCACCAATAAACAAGCGATCCCCGTTCTGAGAAATAAAATGGATTGTTATTAATGCTACAATTAAATTAATGAATTAATGTTCTTAAGAAAACATAGTACAATATAGTTTGGACTGCAATATCCAAATGAAAAAAAATTTGTTATTAACATCATTTACTATAGTAATTCATTTATTTATTGAAAATTTTACCCTCCATAAGAATGGAGTCAACAAATTGAATTCAAATCAACTAGGAAAAACACGTTGACTAGAGTGCTCATTTTCGCAAACAGCCAGTTTTCTAGAGTGCATAAAAGATATACATTAAAATAATTAACAGTCGGACTGTCAGCTAACAGCACAAAAACCTGAACAAAATAAGAATAAAATAAGATTTTCTATAAAATAAAAAAGTGCCAGCTAACTGCACTAAAAGGACGGACTAAAAATCTATGTATATATAATTTTAAATATTTCCAATATTAAAGATGAAGTACTACATATGTACAGTATTTGTTACATATGTCAATTCAATATAGTTTACTTACTTGACTTGCAGCTGCACTAAACCCTGCTTGACATGAACCTTGCCTGTGGTAGCCCCAGTTATCTAAAATATAAAGTATCAAAAAAGTTTTTATTTACTCGATGAGAAATTAAACTTAGTAAGGAATCTTTTTACAGCTAAAAGGTATTTATATATACGTTTAGTAGTGCATATATGATATATGTATATACATATATATATATACATATAAGCTTTGGAATTTGATAATTCATTTTTATTTCATTTGTTTTTAACAATTGAAGTCCTAACAGAGCATATTCATTTTAAAAACTCTCTCAAATTTTTTATAATATAAGTATTATGTATTAGTTTAGATATCTATTATACACATTTTTTATATTATTATATATTGTACCAAGAAATCCGTTCGTTAGGTGTGAAATCTTTTTTAAAAAATAAATTTGTTCCTCGGTTTCTTTAAACCTTTAAACCTTTTACATTTGTATTTTATTTTCTAACAATATAAGGTAGGCGATTATAATAAATGAAGTGATGTACTCCTCAAAAAAGAATGTTTTTTCAATGATTTTGTAAAGATTCTTAAATCATATTTATTGATGTACTGACAACACCAAATAAGGATAATTATTCTCAATGGAATTAAGATAATTGTTCGTAGAATCGATAAAAAAGCAAAAGAATAATAATAATTACAAATTGCCACAAAGACGTCCTTCAATTTGAACATAAGATCCTGCGTCTCATGCCATATAGAACTTCAAGAACAAATATGGATAACAGAAAACATTGTGGCTTGACACATTTGCACATTTGCAAGAAAGCAGAAAATAATTCCGCAGCACATATCTCTTGAGGCGTTATTCCCTTCCATGTGATACAAAAGGCAAAAACTGCAGTGCTGAAGATAGATCGTGCGCCGGATCAAATTGAACGATAACAATTTGTCGTTGAAGTGTTCGATTTGGTCGGCAACACAAAAACCAAAATATCAACGACATTAGCTACTACAACGACAAGGAGCGGCTAACCAATGAAATGAATTGCGTGGACTGAATAGCATGGACAAATGCATTTTCTTCATGTCACATGTGTTTGGTGGGTTCTTCGGTCATGATGACGGAACGCTTGTTGGCCAGTTTGTGATTGGTTTTGTTTTAGTCTTTAATTTTTTGTTTGGAGTAGTGCAGAACCGTTTTGATTTCGCTTTGCTCTGCGTTTTCTGCTTTAGTGCTTTTTCTGCTATTTTATAGGTTAGAGTAATTCCCATAATAAAATCGCCCCCGTTTGGAATTACAATTAGTTTCTTATGAAAATTCTTGGTGACTGCAGTAGAGGTAATAATTTGTTGGGCTCGTTGTCGATATTTCGGTATTTTGTGCGTTAAGTTGGTATTTATTGCTTTAAGAAATGTCGGAATGTATTGATATACCTGCGTATGGGCATTCCTATTGATGTTTCAACTTTTTTCAGGTTTCTTACAAAATGCAGTTTATTGTAGTGATTTTTAATATTTCGATAAATGCTTTATTATTATGTTTAATTGTGCTGCAGAATGCTTTTAAAGCCGAACCCAGGTTCAATTCCCAAAAACTTATTTTATGTGGCAGCATGCCTAAAATATTAATGGATTTTTTTTTAAAGTATTTATAAATGTTTGCTGTTTTACAGATTTTTTTAATTCGAAATTTATGTTTCACAAGTGCATGACAGATGCGTAATACACAAACTCAAAAGGTTTGAAATACTTTTAAATAAAAAAATATACATATTTCCAAATGTGTTTCGGGACGCCTTCGCTTCTGCTTACGTCTAGGCAAAATATAAACAAAGTGTATATTTACTTCTATATTTAGAATCCACACATTCTATCTATTAAAACTTCAATAGGTGAATTTTAAAATTCTGTAGCTTGTAGTTTTTGAACTAAAACTTTTTGACCACATAGCCGGATTTATTATTAGGCCTTGATATAAAATTACTGGACCATCTACTTGACATGTATTTAAGAACAAAGTTTATAAATATAAACAATATCGATATCATATATTACACTACATGTTTTCAATATTATAAACAAACGTTATCGTAATGAACCGCTTATAATCATTATAGGTATGCTTCACAGTACCAATGGCTCAAGTTTCTATTCACAATAGTTGAATGTTATTTGAACAATATGTAAAAGAAAACTAAAACAAATAACTGCGAATATCAATCTTTAATAAAAATTGTGCATAATTTATGCTTAAAAAAATTTCTTATAAAGGAAGGAAGCATTTTATTATCTCTGCAGAAAGTCTTTTATTTTAACTCGAACCAAGACTAAGGATAATTCGCAGTTATCAAGAATTTTGTCAAGAAAATATTATTGTACAACTTCTGAATTTACGGACGATAGTTTACTTTACAACATTTACCTATTAAACAAAAGATACTGGTCTCCTGATTAAAGTTAAACACGAGTACAGAAGACATGGTTTCATTCTGAATTCACGGAATCTATTAGAATCACCTGACTTTCAAAGGCGATAGCAGCAAATGTATGTTCAGTTATAAAACAAGTAATTAACTTAAACTGTTTAGTCCATGATTTCGTAAAAACTCGTTGTTTATAAAGAATAACAAAGGCTGATAATTGTGAATAGCGCAAAAACACTTGGGTTGTGAGATGAAAGTTTAGGCATACTGCCTAAACAGCATGAATATAATGTAGAAAAATGTATATTTCGACTGAATTGTATATAGCATACTATATATTATTCTTCATACATGCAGCAGTTTCACTAAAATATATAGAATTTTTATTATTTTTTCTGCAAAGCTTATATAAACTTTTTACTTTAAAAAATTCTATTTAAAATGTATTTAAAGAACGATAGACGAAACTTTAATGAAACATTGTAGCATTAAATATACGAACACAATGAAACAATTTTTTATTCACTATACTATTTTACCGTTAGGTTCTAAATCCGCTACTGGCATATCGTAAGATGGAATAAATATGTACATTCATTTTTTAGAACAGAAAATTGAATTGTTATGTGGATTTTGTGCTGCGTTTAGCACAACCTCTTCAGCAGTGCAAAGCGGTATCCAAATTGAATACCGAGGGTGTCCAATGAAATATTGGTGTTCAATGGTTCATATGAATTATTTTTTCTTCACAGATTTTTTTTTTGTGACATTTGACACTAAGAAAGTATTGAGTTGCCTTTAAAAATCAGACAGTCTTTGATTGAATTTAAAAGGATTCCCTGTTCTTTTTCAAATTGTTAGTTTTATTAATTATAAAAATACGAAATATACTGATTATAATTTTTTTTGTCATGTCAGGAAGGTAATACGAGTTGCTTAAAGAATATATGAATATAACTAAAAATAAATAAATTTATTATATGTTACATAGTCAATACGAAAAAAAATGTGATTATTTGTGTTTATAACTTTAATATACTGTATAAGCATTTAATATATACTTACTTGTGCGGCAAGGTGAAATTTCATTAAATTGAGAAAAATTTCTGGATGTGAAGCACGTACCAACTGGATCATACCGCATCGATTTTATTGGTGTCATTGTATGGAACACATAACGTGGTGCACAGGCCTAAAAATAAAATAATACCCAAATAAATTTTTATTGAAATATAAAACTTTAATAAAACATTATCGGTAATAAAACGATTGTGAAGTATTTAAGGCTTCATGTAATATATGATCGCGCATAAACAATGGCACCGCCGATGTGGTCAGACGCCAAATATGGAAGCGACATAAATGTATGTCCTCGACAGCATTATTTGTGGGATGCGTGCAATTACTTTTACAAATTTATACAAACTCGGAAACTCTGAATTAAGAAAAAAGGAGAAGATATTTTTCTTTATTTTTTGACGCATCGTTGCTTTAAATGGTCGTGGAAAACACTGAACAATAGCTGAATCCAGTGAAACGATGCACGCTTGAAATATATTTGGATTTTTAATAAAAATATGTGCAAATAAAATATAACTCCCATGCATACATTATACTGAACATGTCTTTGGCCTTATACATTCGCATATACGTACATAAGAGTACGAGTAGTTTAGCCATGATTGATGCTTGTGAAATTATATGAAGGGTATGCATCTCTGAAATGTTTTCTAATCTTATAAGTACAATTTTGTTAAGAGATAAATGCAGGAGAATAAGTATAATAATTTAAATTTATTCTTACAAAAATCTCCATTTTAACTTCGAACATTGTAAGACTTCCAAAGTACTTACTAGGATTTGGGAGACAAATCAAAGAAATAAAAATACCTTATCCAAAGTGTTAGGCTATATAGAAATTCCTAATATTGGTTGTTAAGATTTCACACAGTCAAAAAGAAAATGTCTATTCTCTACAATTTCGTACCATAGGCGAATGAATGAAAGTTGCTATGCGAATTCCCGGCTTGGCGTCATTGAAGAAACAGTCTTACATTGTGACCGAAAAGTTTCCGGAAATTTTAAATAAAACGCAAAATTCTTAATCTTCATCAATATTTATTTTATCTCCTTCAAAATATGCTCCATTAGAAGCGATACACAAATGCCAACGTTTCTTCCAATCATCAAAACATTTTTTATAGGCGCTTTCCGGTATGGCTTTGAGTTCCCTCTGCGAATTCTGTTTTACGTCTTCTATGGATTCAAAACGCGTTCCTCTGAGTGGTAATTTGAGGTTGGGAAACAGGAAAAAGTCACACGGTGCAAGATCAGGTGAATACGGTGGCTGTTCGATGGTATTTATTGAATGTTTGGCCTTAAAATCGTTGATAATGTTGAACAAATTGAGGTGAATCGGAACAAGCCGGGCGTTGACACGTCGCATACACAAATTGTCCACCAAAATCAAACGAGCCATCTCACGACCGATGCCTAGCTCTCGTGCTATCTCTCTAACACTCACATGAGGATTTTTGAACACGATTTCCTTTGCCTTTTCAATGTTTTCGTCGGTGGTAGAGGTCGAAGGTCGTCCAGAACGCGGCATGTCTTCGACGGTCGTACGACAGTCCTGAAAGGCTTTGTACCACTCATAAACTTGAGTTTTCGATAAAACTGATTCCCCATAAGCCTTTTGTAGCATTCGCAACGATTCTGCACACGAAATTTCGTTCGAAAAACAAAATTTGATGCAAACTCTTTGTTCAATATTTTTTTCCATTGTTTTTTTCGCAACGCACTACTGAGGTGAACTGGTTTCAACAGCTGCCGTAAACGAACTGTCTGACAGATCGCGCTCATTTTTGGCATAGTAATTAAGGACAGTGCTGCCAAACTACATAAACTTAAAATATCGAAAAATATACAGCGCGCGAATTTTAAATGAGAATTTCCGAAAACTTTTCGGTCACAATGTACATTCATTTTAAAGTAGCTTATGTCAGCCCGTGATAATGCCTATAATCACACATTTACCAATAAATTTCATAAGAAAATTAACGTTAATATAGCCACTCGACAAAAGTAACAGCCTAGAACACACTAGACTGAGTAAATTACTATGATTTTTGCAGATAGATAAGTTAGAGAGTAAACGTATTAACAAAATATTCAATGTATAATTAACGAATTCTTGATTATTACAGTGTACCTATAACAGATAGAAATTGTTGTTATATACAAGTCTATGTGTTATCTGTGGTTGGGTTAAAAACAAATCATCTATTAAAGTATATAGAAAAATATTGAGATTAGAGAAAACCAAGTGTGATAAGAAAACACAAAAGTAGTTGGATTTTCATAATCTAACCTAGTACTAACGTAGCATTGGTCAATGGAATTTGAGAGAATTCAGTGCAAGTTTTGAACTACTTAATTATATTTGTTTCATTATTTAGTCGAATTTCTCAGTTTCCTAGTTTCTTAAGGTATTGGAGTTATTTCAATGCTAATTTAATTTTGTTCACAATTTGCTAATGCTGTATATTTTTTATTTAAATGAAAAAAGTGAGTAAGAACTTCTGAACATTTCTCATTTTTCAGTTGTTTAAAACGCTACTGGCATTTTAAAATTCATCTATGGAATCGAAATTTTGAATACTACAGTGAGCTCACATCATTGACGGACGTAGATTTAATCGCTAAATAATCACGTCAAGTAAATTCGTATTTCCTTTTCTGTGGAGTAGAAATTGCGTAAAATTGACGTTTTCGCATAAAGCTGAAATGGTTGACGTATAAATCAGCGATTATCCTCATGTTGAAAGACGCTGTAGACAACAAGACAACACAACAAATAGCAGCAATTGAAAAAGGAATTAATTTTTCATAAAAAACCATTTCTTTAAAATTAAAAAAAAAAACACAGGTCTTTTGCAAAAAAAAAGTCATATTGTCCATTTTTGGAATGACTTAAACACAATGTGAATACCTGAGTACGTTTAGCGGTCGCTATTTCGGTTTAACGGTCATTGTTTGCAGCGGTAACAAAACAACAAAAACAACAGCAGAAGCACAATACAAACTGTAAGAAGAGCTGGAGAAGCTGAAGAATAACAAACATTGCATTATGAATAGCTGTAGTAAACTAAACAATCCAACGAGATACACGCTTTGTATCTGTTGAAAGAATTGAGATTTTAGGGCAGTGCCAGAATGCCCAGAATGCCCAGAATGCTCGAACAAGCCAAGCCAAACCGCGTGAATACCAATTTCAATCCACATCTGATGTGGTCGAGGCACAATTGCGAAAATATTTAACCGCAAATAAAACAATAAAATAAAATCAAAGCAAATCAAACACAATAAAATAATCGCATAATCATAACAAAAAATCACAACATTAAACATAATTTAATTTCGATGTTTATTGAATTTTTGATTCACTGACTTGATCAACAGACCATCACAGCACGGGATTATGTGAGCCACAGACTGCAGTGGATTAAACACTTGTAAGTTACTTCATATGATTTAGGTATAAAATTGCTTTCCGTATAACCCTGCTACACAGTTTTAGAGGTACATGTAGCTACCGATCTATTTTGAATTTTATTAACTCTGCAAATGCTATTTTACAATTTTTCATAGCTTCATAGACATGTTATTTGACCAATGAATTTTCTATAAAATTCTCTTAAAGAATTTCCAGAATTGACAAACAAAACGTTTTACTCTATTTTGTTTATCTGTATTCAAAGGCTTGTACTAATGTCTGTCTCTGCATGTGATTGGAATTTTTAATGGTTGCAGGCTTTTGTGGTCTGTATCTCTGAGTTGTATTGTTGCAACGATTTGTTGCTAGCAAATGTGGACAGAAGTCAAAGAGTCAACACGTTTGAAGCTTTTTTCTACATTTGAAATGTTAATTTTCCATATTTAGATTAAAATAGATTACTGATCGTGTCATTGATATTGCTCGATGGTGGTCGAAAAAGGTTAAGTGTTACTGAATAACATCTAAACAAAATCTCGAATGAGTTGTTGTCAATTTTGGGTCAAAATGTTGACTTTTATTACTTTTTTTTATTACGTTATTCAAATTTATTTTGCTAAGAAGTACTATTTTAAATATTGCACACATGTCATACATATTAAGGTTTAAACATAAAAATCGTATATGTTTTATTTGATGAAATTAAGATCTTTAAATTAAATTAACTAAAAACAATAACTTTTGTTCTTTGTGTAGAAGTCATTCTATAAGTGATTAAAGAATTGCATGGAGTCATAGAGTAGCCAGACTGAAAAAAAATATACCATAATAAATAACTACATTTCTTTGATATTATAAAAGAAAACTAATAATGAATCTTAATTTCATATTAATAATAAATTTATTAATATTAAGTTCTTGATTAATATTGAAAGTACGATTTCTTAGTATTTAAAATGTTTATACAGGAGACTCTCACAAACTTTTTATGACAAATTATTTGTCTGTTAATTAGTGATTTATTCTTATATTATGTTTTGTTCTAATTTTTATGTATTTTAATATTATTAACTGATATTTTGGATGTTTTTTTCTTTACATTTAGTGCTGTTAGTTGACATTAAGACTTTTATTTATATTAAGTTATATATATCAGCAAGATGGAGTATTCAAAACTCTAAAATAAGTGAAATAACTGGATATACTTCGTATTTAATATAAAATAAATTCGAATAAACTTAATAAGAACTTGAAAGATTAAGATATAAAATATTGTAATTCATTTTCCCGTAAATCCATTAGTTAATATGTTCATTCACTAATGAAGAAGTTTTCGAAATAATAAATTTGGATTTTTGATGAAGAAATTTCCTTAGTTAGTAATTAGTTTACATCAAAAACATTTCAATAGCTTAGAGTGCTTTAAATTTAAAATCTTGATGTAAACATTTGTAGCCATTAACTGATTTTTAAAGAACTTAACCCACTTAGCGAGCATTAAATATTGCCAACCATAAA